AAAGAGAGAGAACTAGAAACCAGGGAGACAAGATATGATCCCCAAGGGCAGGCCCCCCAGACCCCTACTTCCTTCAGCCACACCTCACCTGCCTTCTAGTTAATCCATTCAGATTATTAATCTATTATATGGATCACACCATTGATTAGGTATGACAGTCATCATCTAATCGTTTCACCTCCTGCATTAACCTAGGCACTTTTACAGGACACTTTGAATCCAAACCATAACACAGGGAAATTTATTTTTGTTTTTATGGGTAACACTGGAATGTATGTAAAAGCAGAGGGGAAGGGCCAGAAAAAAGGGAAAGGTTGAAGGTACAGGACATTGTATCACTGAGAAGGGGAAAGGTGTACAGGAGCCCCTTAGCCATGGTTTCAGTCACCCATGGCCAACCACAGTCTGAAAATATTAAGTGGAACACTCCAGAAATCAACAATTCATAGGTTTTAAGTAACTTTTATCAAGACATATTGTCATAAATATTCTATTTTATAATTGTTGTTAGTATCTTACTTATGTCTACTTTATATATGGAGCTTTATCATAGGAATGTATGTACAGGAAAAATGATAGCATATACAGAGTTCCATACCACCCACAGCTTCAGGCATCTGTGGTACATATCCTGCAGATAAGGAGACGGGATGTACTGTAATTATGATTGGCTTTGACCAATATTAGTTCATCTGCCAGCACTGAGGGAGGAGCCCACCATTTTGGGGCTTATTCACCAAAACAAAATGGAATTTCTGAAACCAGGAAATAAAAGAGGATGACTATGTTGGAAAAAAAAAAAAATCCCAAAGTGTCTGCCATACTAACCTTCTTTGTACTTAGAAATGCCGTGGCAAATTTACATAGTCAGTGATTCATATCAAATGATTGGAAGGTTCAGAGTCTTTTCATATTGTACATTTTAATTCAAATACTTTCTTACTCCATGGTTTTTCATAGGCCTAACATAATTTCAATTAAGCCTGAATCTGAAAAGACACTAATTTTCTCAACTCTATTTTTTCCACATGCAAGCTCACCCACCCTGGAATTTAATGGATAGTAAAGTTATGCGAAGAATTCCTGTGTGCAATGAGAACTGGGACATTTTCCACTAAGCGCACCTCCAATACAAACACATACACACACTGGTCAATGCTATACATAGAACTTGCTCTTGAATACCTACATCTATTTGCCACACTGTGGAGTTTCATTCTCTTGATTAAAATAACAGGAAGTATCATCATTCTTGAAGCTTTGGTATTTGCAAAGAAATGTAACCACAAAATATATTTATAGTTGTAAGTATATTTATAACTGTGAAGACTCTTTTGAGGTCTATTGGCAAGGCATCTGGTACCATCCTGGCTTAGGATGGAAAGTCCTACATTGAAATAGTCATGCTTCCCAAGCAATGCTTGGTCTACTGGGAGGACCCAATCCAAGAGAGCTAAAAACTTCTAGAGAAGTCCTCTATAACCTCCAGTTTGAAAGGGGCCTCTGCCTCTTCAGCAAGGCTGGCAGGTCATGGAAATTCTACTCTTGAAAAGGGAGCTGTGGACACAAGAGAAGTATTTCTTCAGTATTTACTTTGACCAGTGAAATAGCTATAACAATTTTTTTTCTTTTCCCCAAGACACAAAGTGACATTTTAAAGGAGAAATTACTCTGTTGGTGCCACTGAGTCGTTTAAAAATAATATTAGAATAAAAGCTCAAAGGAATGTCTGCTTAAGCACAGCTGCCTAAAGCCTCATATTTCAAAAATTCAGCCACTTTATGCAGACAGGGAAACAAGACTGCTCATTTCAGCCTCTTCTCTATTAGATCCACTTCTTAGTACTCAGCATTAGATTCAGAACTAGTGACACCCTTTCGGTTCAAGTGTTTTTTTGTGGCCTGTTTTGCTATTAAATGCATGCTGCAGCTTTATTTCTTTTTTCATGTTTATGCTCTTTTTCCAACCAAATCATGGGCTCCTTAAGGTCAAGGGCCAGGTCTTGCACCCCTTATTTCTTGCAGAATTGTACTGGTTAAGGCAAACTTGCAGGAAATAGTTGTTGAATGGGTGAATGAATGAAAGAAAGACAAAAACTGAAAAGCAGTGGTAGGTGAGTTGCTAGGCAGCCTGGTAAAGAGGATTATGAGAGTCAGGTCAGATTAGCAGGAAAGGTGGTAGAAGGAAAAGAATGCTGTGTTTTGAGCCAGCAAATTCAGGTCCTAGTCCCAGGCTGGCTTGCTTGCCTTCACTTATTTGACAAATTTCTTAAACTTCTGATAAGCCAGGCATGAACCAGGCAAACATTGTGGCAGGCATCGAATAAGACAAAATCCCTGCCTTTGGGGTGCACTGGTGGTGTTAAGGGGGAGCAGAGGAGATCAGGGTTTCTAGGAGATATGTGTGACAGGAGACATGAACATGCCAGGCACTGGGCACAATGGGAGCAAGAAGAGGCTTTTATATCAGACTGTAGTTTCCGGGAAAGCTTCCTGAATGAAGAGAGTTTTGATTCAAGTCTTGAAGGATGAGTGGGTGTTGGTTTAAGGCTGACTGGGAAATATGACTTCAGGTAAAGGAACTAGTACATGAGGATATTCTCCAACATAGAACTGTGTGTTGTATTTCAGAGCTAAAGTCTCAGCTGAAGGATGGCCATGGCAAAAGACAAATTTACAGAGGTTGACTACAGCTACTTTGCAAAGGGCCTTGTGGCAATGTAATTTAGTGCCTAAGGGGAGAAATTAAAGATCAGACAGAAATGGGTTCAAATCTCATTTCCGGAATATACCAGCCCTGTAACAATAACTGATTTTTTTAACCTATTAGAGGTTTTCTTAAAACAGTGTTTAGATGTTTCAGTTATCTACTGCTGTGTAACAATTGTCCCCAAATGTAGTGGCTTAAAAAAACATATATTTATAATTCTCACAGTTTCTATGTTGTTGGGAATCTGGACTCAGCTTAGTTGGATCCTTTCCTTCAGAGTCTCTCACATGTTGCAGTCAGAGTCAGGCAAGGCTGAAATGTCATCTCAAGACTCTATTGGGGAAGAACCTGCTTCCAGCCCACTTACATGGTTATTGGCAGAATTTAGTTCCTTGCTGGCTGGTGACCAGAGGTTGCCCTAGGTTCCTGGCTATGAGTAGCCCCAGGCATAACAGTTGGCTTTCTCAAAAGTCAGTGTCAGAGATTCTGCTAACCATACAGAATAGTCTTATGTGGCGTAATCCTTGAAGTGACTTCTCATCACTGTTGCTACATTCTATTGGTCAGAAGTCACAAGGTTGGCACATACTACAAGGGCGGGGCTTATACAAGGGCTCTAGCACCAGGAAATTGGGATTTGGGGGAGACTATCTTGGAGTCCCACTTGCCTCATTAGTTCAGTGCCTGCAATCAGTACTAGGTATTGTTATTGTTATTATGCCGAACTGAGGATTAGGAAAAACTTCAGGGCGCCAAGGGAGGAATTTGTAACTTCGGATGACATTGCACAAGTCATCTCATGTTTTGTCTTCAATAGAACGAAGATTCTTGACCTGGAAAAATGAGAAAATGTATGTGCAAGTATAAATGCGTTTGTGTCAGGAGCAAATATATATCTTTGAGGAAGCAAACTGCTTTGGATCAGTTTTCCACTTTATTTTGATTCTGTGAATCTCACAGTCTGGTGTCTTCAAGGTTTTTAGTGTTTGACCCTGTGGGTCCAGAAGAATTCGCATAGCTGGAATAAACACCTACAAAGAGAAATCTGTCTTTGGAGAGTCCCTTAAGGCATTTCCAAGCCTTTGCTTCTTTCTATTAAAATACCTTTGTTTCTAAGAATTCCATGGGGGATCTGAGAGAGAAAACAGACTATCTGGAAAATTTCAAGCTCTGGATAATAAAAATGGTAATAAAATCTCTTCCAGCTCCTGAGGCTTCGCAAAGGTGATGTTTATGGTGCTTGGGGTTCTCTCACACCCGCGCAGCTGCTTTCCAGGTTATGTGGTTTCCAGTCCTGCAGATCAGCTCGGGTTACCGATTCCCTGGCCGCCCGCGCGGCAGCTCGGATGGTCGCAAACCGCAGGCTGAAGACCAAGTCTTCCGACCCCAGCGCCTCACTCCTTCTGGCCCGGTGCCTTATCCCTCGCCCCAAACGAAGCGCATCACACACTTGAATCCAGGGTCTTCCCTGGTGCGGTTATTGCCCGGCGAAGGTAAACAGTGCCAACTGGTCACACGGGCATTTCGGAGGGTGGAGGAGTTCTCCCCAGCTGTCCGCCCTGCGGAGGAGGGCGGAACCGAACTTGGGAGTCAGTTCCCTGAGCTTGTACAAAGGCGGACGTCTCCTCAGGGCATCTCTGGGTGGGACGAAGTGGAGAAGGAGGAAGCGACATTGCCACTTTGCCTCTTTCGGAGGGCCTGGCCTTAAGGGCAAGGGGCGCCAGGGAACCCCAGGCAGGACGCAAACCTCCTAGCGTAACCCCACCACCCATCCTTGCTCTGCCAGTCCGGCGCGGGAACGTTGCACCAGCCAGCAGCTGCGCACGCCGCCGGGGGTCCCCTCCTTCGCGCTTAGATCATCTCCTGTAGCGTTTGCTGTCCTGGGTCCTCTTAGGCCATTTGGTCCCAGGGGCGGGGTAGGCCGGGGCCGAGGGGCAGCCCCGACCGGAGGGCGGGTGTGACCCCAGGAGCTCTCGGGGAGCGGAGGAGGAGGAAAAACGAGCAGCCCCGAACAGCCCTGGCCGGGGTTTTTACCTCGCCAGCCCCGCCGCTCCCGAGACCGCTGCCTTAGAAAATTTAATGAGAACCAGATGTAGTGGCCGCTGCCGAACTTTCTCAGAGCGGGTGATTGGTCCCAGGCTGACAGCCTCAGCCAATGGATGCGCTGGGCGGGACTGCAGTCCCTCCCCTCCGGGGCGTCTGTGGGGATCCAGGTTCGAGGCTGGCTGCTGGTGGACCCACAGGCAGGCCGGACGCTCTGTACCACGGGACAGCCCACTGGCGGAGGGAGCATGCCGGGGGACCAGGCGGCCAGGCGGCCTTCGCTGCCATCGCCATCGCCGCTGCTGCTGCTTCTGGTGCTGCTGCTTTCGCGAGCCGCGGCGCTGAACCCTGGAGAGCTCTTCCCCTATGGGGAATCGTGGGGAGACCAGCTCCTGCAGGAAGGCGACGACGAAAGCTCAGCCGCGGTGAAACTGGAGATTCCCCTGCGCTTTTACGATGTCCAGTTCAACAACCTCTATGTAAGTTCAGCCCGCTCCTGGTGCGCGACTCGGGCACATTTCTCTAGGTTCTTCGCAGGAGTTAATGTTGTGGCCATCCCACCGTGACCCTTTGGAAGGAAGGAAATAGTCCACACTCTCGGCTCTCTCTCAGGGGACGCGGCTTCGGAGCGATGCCGCTGCCTGACTCCTGCAGTGGTAAAGAATTACCCGGAGAGGAAGAGTGAGAATTGTTCGCAGCCACGTAGCGTACCGGGCAGAAAAGAAGGTGGGGTTGCCCAGGCGATCAGAGAGGTTTGCAGTAGGACAGTGAGGAGGCTGTGCACTTCTGCAGAGCTGGGGTGTTCCCTCCTGGATCTCGAGTCTTTCTCCCCAGGGACATGGAGCTATAGGGTTGTTTGGGGAGTGAGAAGATGGACGAGCCCTAGGGCGCCTAGACCTATTGCACGCGTCGTGGAGTGGGGTTAGGGATGGGATCGCGGCTGTAGTTGTCCTTGTAGCCCTGCAGCCAGACTCCCTCCTGTTAGGAAGGAGAGGCTTCTTTCCCTCAGCAGGACCCTTCCCTCCCTGCAGGATTGGGTGAGCGCGCGACTGGAGATGGGCGGCCTCCCCTTTGCTTGATCATCAGAGTCAGTCTCTCTCTCTCTCTCTCTCTCTCTCTCTCTCTCTCTCTCTCTCCTTCTCATCACCCAGGTGGGCACAAACGGCATCATCTCCACCCAGGACTTCCCCAGGGAGACCCAATATGTGGACGATGATTTCCCCACAGACTTCCCCGCCATCGCCCCCTTCCTGGCTGATATCGACACGAGTCGCGGAAGGGGCCGGATCCTGTACCGCCAGGACACCTCCCCGGCAGTGCTGGGCCTGGCAACCCGTTATGTGCGCACAGGCTTCCCGAGCTCAGCTGCCAGCTTCACTCCCACCCACGCCTTCGTGGCCACCTGGGAGCAGGTGGGAGCTTATGAGGAGGTCAAGCGTGGGGTTCCGCCCTCTGAGGAGGTAAGTGACGGGCGATGCTCCCCAGCTGAGTGAATCCAGGGATGGACTTGAATTTTAACGGGAACCCGGGGACTGGCTCCTAGTTTCTTCTGACTTTGCCCGTGTACCAAACTTGATGGTTCCTTTGGTGGCCCCATAACCGAAGTGGTTTGGAAGAGTGGCTTCAGAGGTGTCCTTTGATGTCTTCTGAGGCTCATTCAGATCTGGTCATGTTAGCAAGGAAAACTGCTTAGTGCAGATGCCAGAGGTCCTGGGAATAGGCAGTTTACTGCTTATTTGTTTATTTTTAGGATCACCTCTAAGTATTTCTAATTATGTGTTCACTAAAGGAAAAATCAGAAAGTCAGGAAATTTAAAAAAACACTAATTTTCCTACTAGTATTAAACATTTTTGTATGGACATTTTCCAGAGTTTTTTTCTTTACACATACATAATTGCTATTTATTAACAATAGTGGATTCACACTGTATGTACTTCTACATAACTTGTTTTTTCACCAAATATTGTATTCCAAATATGTTTTGACGTTAATAACTATATTTCTATAACATTAAGCATGATGACTGGGTAATATTCCACTCAATGTGTTTACCATAGTTTATTTAACCAGTATTCCCAGTGGTCATTAAGGTTGTTTCCATCATTATAAGTACTACTTGTGAGGCACTTTTCAAAAAGTTACATCTTTGCACATCTTCTTAGCTGACATTCCAGAAATCACAATTGGTAGGCAATTGCTTTTTCTAAGGTACTTGAAAGCTTTTGCCAAATTGCCCTCCAGATACCAGTTTACCTATATTCCTTAGTTTATAGGAGACTGTCCACAATGTGTTTTACAGTCTTTCCCTGGAGAGAGCAAAGCAATCCAGGCTACAGTTTTTGATCCCAGGAGCAAGATTTGAAGTACTCCAAATGGACAATGGGTAGAGCCAGGGCAGTTTGGTAAATGGCAAATTCCCTCATTCTTGGGAGTAGGTAAGGATTTCCTTTTATGCAATTAGACCTAAATATAAAATGTGGTGCTTCAAGGGCAAAAATATTACTTATTTTAACTCATTAAAGTGTTTCTTAACTATAGAAAGATAGCATATATCCTCCCTAAGAGGTTAAGAAGGTAGCTCAAGATGGTGGCTGTTCTTGCTCTGTGGTTAGAGTAAGAGGACTATTTTCTATAACTTATACTAAGCAAAAACTCTTTTAAAGTGAAAAAAAATTATGTTTAGGGTTTTCTTTTTGCCATTCAGTTTTTTGGTCAAGTAAAATTAGTTTTATTTATTGAACAACTTTTTAAATGCATGGTTGTGACATCTCAGTTATCTCAACAGAATATCTTCAGTTGAAACAAACATTGTGCACCTTCTTTATGCACACCACTGGGCTGGGTAGAGGGTTGGAGAGGACATAAAGAAAAATATGGCTAGGCTCTACCATTACGTTTCATTCATTCATTTTTGTTTATAAGTTAGAAAATTGATTCAAAATTGTTATCACATGCCAATAATAGAAATTTGAAAAACAGAAAATAAAAAAACATTATTTATAATTCTAATAATTAGTGGCCACCAATGCTTACACTTTATTATATTCTTATAATCTTTAAAAAAACTTATATCTTAAGTGTGATATTTTTTACTTGTGTGTTTAAATCACTTATATTTAAACATAGTTGAGATTTATTTATCCAATAAACCATTTCTGTACACTTACTATTGGGTCATTATTAGGGTAGATACTGTGAAAGGACATACTCTTGCCACGAAGGATCTCATAGTTTGGTAGGAACATGGATTCTTTTGAATATGATAGGTATGGTGTCTTGACTTAAAGAGCCTACCCCTAACCCTTCCTGTGTAGGGGGAAACCATCTGTGTGGGTTTTTTTTTTTTTTAAATCTGTGTGGGGGTTTAGTGAAAAGGTATCTTTGTATCTGAGTTGAGTAGAGTAGATCATTCACTATAGAAGGTATAGCATGTGTCACCCATGTGCCTTAAATTATAACATGCTGAGGGCATTGCAGGTTGTGCCTTGTTAATGAAGAGGAAGGGTGATGAGATACAAAGTTTTTAGAAAGGTCACATATTCCTTTGGGAGGAGTTTGGATTTTTTTTTTTTTTTCTGGGCAGTGGGCTGCCTTTGAAGGATTTTAACAGGGGAGGGGCGGTTTGAGATGTTTTTGCTTTGTTGTTTTTAAAGAGAGATAATTTTGATGGTATTGAGAAGGTTAGGGCACAAAGGAGACTGACTGCTTAGACAATTATTAAACATGTTATTGATTCAAGCTATTTTGTTAAATTCTTCCAAAAATATTTTATCATACTATCTTCCCATCACAATCCTACAGGATAAGTACAAGAATTACTGTTTGCATTTCACAGATAATGGCAAATAGAAGATAAAGTGATCATCCAGGATGATTGCAGAGGACACTTTTGATGCCAATATCACTTCCAAATTTGAATTGCAGTACTCAGAAGAGAATCCAGTTATATGTGTGTCTTATTTTTTCAGTAGAGAAAAGAAAGACAAAGTTGAGTCTAAGTAAATTAGAGAGAAGAGCAATTGCATGACAACTGGGTTTATGAAATCCTGCTACAGCTTTTGGATCCCAATTGTACTGGGACTTCTTTGAAATAAAAGTTACCAAACAGATGAGATGACTTAGTTAATTACCTTTCTCAATTTCATCTGTAGCAGGGGTGTGCTACTTCTTTTATCAAATTTCCAGGGTAGTTGTGAAGTCAATGACAACATAAAAACATTTGGGAAAAAAAGAATGGTTTTGAAAGGTTAGCCAGTCAGTGACTTTGGAAGTAGTGACCCAGATTCAGACTAAATTTCCTAACCTGTAAAATGGGGTAGCAATGCCTCCTACTGTACAGGACTGTTGTGAGAATGAACCGAGGTGACATTTTTACGTAAAGCTATTGTAGTCCCTTGACCTAGTATCAGCCAAACTATGTTTCCCTATGTTGACTTGATAAGACCAGATTCTACTTCTTTTGTTCCTTTCTCTCGTAAAGATGTTGTGATACAGGTCCTTTGTGTAAGCATTCTTTAACTAGAGGGTTTTCTGAATAATGTCTTTTCTTGTTCTTTTTTGTTTGTTTGTTCCTTTTATGGAGGGAAGTTAGTTTAGGGAAAGGTTTGTAGATTCTATTGCTCTTTAACATTTCTAGTTAAAATCATTCTTTAGACATTTTCATATACTAAATTGGCTTCAGAATTTGTTTCCTTTAGAAAGATGAGGATTCTGTTAGGACAGAGTGTGTTTTTTCAATTACCCACGTTGAAGAGTCTTCTGAATACTTTAAAGAGCCCACGGACTTGAATTCTTGCTTTAATAGTTTTCTGGAGATAGATTTTGGCAACCATTAAACTACTTTGCTTGAAGGATTGTGTGAATCTTATGTGGATTTCTTGAATCTTGGCATACCCTAAGATAATATTGCAGAGTCACTGGAAACTTGAATATATCAGAGGAATGGCATCTTTACCACTTAAAACAGTCAAGTTGGTGCCCTTTCTCTCCATTGATATTCCCATTGGGTATGACAGGAAGCTGTACCTGATGTTGCAGGAATGTCAAGGTGTAATTACATCAGAAAAAAAATGTGAACAAATAGTGTTTATCAATTCAATTAATCTGAGATTGTTTTAAACCTTCATGTAGGTAATTCACAAAGAAGTCATGGTGTTGACTTTCAAAGAACTTGTGGGAGACACAAGAGTAGTGTTTACTTTAGCTATGTGTGTGTTTTTGTTTGTTTGTTTGCAGGGGGAGGAGCATTGTGGGGTGGTCACTTTTAAGGGCTTATAGAGAACTAGGTTATACAGATCTGTGTAGTGTGGGATGTTTTTGTTGACCTAGAATTTCAGTTGTGTTAAAAGTACTTGAGAGAATGAATATTGAGAATGAGGTAGCAGGAGGGGTTGGTCTGAGCTGGGGCATGTCCTGAGAGAAGACTGAGAGGGCTGAGGCTGGAGAAATGGATGAGGGAGTAGTGGGACAGTGACGTAAGAGTGAGTAGGAGGTTGCCCAGTGAAGGCCTCCATGTGGAGAGGGGGCATGTTGACTTGATGCAGAGGATGAAAATCACTGACCAAGAAAATTGGACTTGGCTGTAGCTTTTTGACTTCTAAAACAGGGTTCAGAAGAGGGAGGTCTACAGATTATCAGGGCAAATTTAACCTGAGTCTAAGATATAGGTATAAAGACAAAATTGAGACACATGTGGAAACTGGTTTAAAAAAATACCGAAGTTTTGCTCAAACCCAAGTGTCAGGAAAGATGCAACATTAGGGATGTGACTGCATTGAGCATTTATCTTTGAATTTGGGGCAAGTTCTGTAGGATTTAGTGCAGAAAAATGAACAGGGGAAATCACGTATGTGATGGTGTTCTACAGATGAGGAAATGAAGAATTACACCAAGGAATAGAGGTTGGTGTTCCCATTGAACTCAGGAGGCCACAAGTCAGTGATCCTACAACTCTAGAGAGCATGTGTCCCTAGGAAGACAGGAAGAACTCTGTGACCCCTGAAGGCAGTCATCCTACTCCACTTTCATTTTTATTTTGGTAAGACTCTAGAGGCAAACCCCTTGGGGAGAGGGACTTTTTGTCAGATGTCTGTAATTAATTAAATGAATTACAAGCATTGGAAATCCTTAGAGGGGGCATGTTTTGTATCCATCAGCCTATGTCTGCCTAGTGTCACATCAGTATGGAGTGGTGATGTCATGCACCTGGAAGGGGAAAGGCAGACTCCTCTCTGGTTTCTGCTCAGAGTTCTGGCCTTTGTCTCTCTGATATCAGGATGGTGGAAACCTTGAAGCTCTGCAGCCACTAGCCTGAACCTGTGTACTGCTTCTTTCCCTTTAGAGGTCCCTCTCTCCTCTCTGGGATCCTGGGGAAGTTGAGAACCAGTGACCCTTGTGTAGGGTTTGGCAGCCCATCTGAGGGTTTGCCTTCAGAATCCAAACATGTGGGGCTCTTGCAAAGGCTTGTATCTGGAAATTCAAGGACCTTTCTGGTTTGGAAGCCAGTCAAGGAGTGCTTGGGAGGAGGAGCCCTTCAGGACAGCGTCAAGTGGGCTCTTTAGCAATTAGATGTAGAATTTTGTAGAAGTGTCGGAGAACTTTACAAGTCATCCTTTGGTGTGTGAGTTGTTTTTAAACAGCCAAACTCTTCTGGAGTGTACTTAGAATTTTGTAGAACTGATGGAGAACTTTACAAGTCAGTATTTGGTGAGTGGGTGGTTTTTAAACAGCCAAACTCTTTTGGAGTGGACTTTGGTCTCATAAATTCTATTAAAAGGAAGTTGTTTTCTTCCTTTGATATTTGCCTGTTTCAGAGGAGACAAAGAAATTGAACACTTGCCACCTGTAATGAATACTTGTCTCATAATACAGGTATGTAAAAGGCATATGAAAGATGTTGAATACATCTTAATCAGAACGGGGGCTGTTGGGTGAGTGACTGAGAGAATGAATGAAATGCTAACTACCCAGACCCCACGGGGAAAAGCCAGACCCCCCTCTCAGCTTTGTTTATTTTTCCATATCCCTCCTCCCAGTCCCTGCAACTCCTCACAATCTTACACTGCCTTATCTTTCAGAATTTCTCTAAACTTAGAACCGGATTCTCCCCTATCTTGTACCTTGATTGTGGGCAATCCACAGCAGGAGCTTTTAAAGTGTAGCTTTCTAAAATGGGGTTCTTTCTCTTTCCCCAATGACTTCTCTTTTCCAAGTTGAACTTTATTCATTCTGACTGAAATAAAACTCTGAAGTGATAGAATACACATTAATTGATGATGAAGTATATATTATGCATAGACAAGGGGGCAGAATACCTTGGTTTACATTTGGCAGAAGTCGAGGCTTCTGATCTGTGAAAGATTCTAGAAAACATTCCTTGCCTTTTGTTTTAGGAACAGTCAAGTTTTGCTGAAGAAACAATCAACAGCCACAACAATAACAAATATATCGGATCCCCTGTCTATTAAGGGGAATAAGGTTAAGAGGGTTTGTAGATGCAGAGGAAGAAGGTTGGGGATGGGGGGAGGGGGGACCAGCAAGGATTTTTTTCAGTTAGAGAACTACAAGAAAGTTTACATAGTATTTGTGTGTGTGTGGTGCTGGGATTTAGACTCAGGGCTTTGCCATGCTAGGAAAGCACTCTACAATGAGCTACATCCCCAGCCCTTTTAAAAATTTTATTTTAAGACAGGGTCTTTATAAGTTGTCCAGGATGGCCTCAAACTTGCCATCCTCCTACTTCAGCCTCCTCAGAGCAGATGGGATTACAGGAGTATGTGCTGTCATGGCTCCTGCAATAGTTTTTTTTTTTTTTTAAGCATGCTAATGCCTGCATTTCTTTGTCCTATCTGCAAAACCTCAAAACTACTTTGAAATTAAATATTGAAGGGAAAAATTAGCATTAGAAAAGATCTAGAACAAGATGGGAGAGGACCCAGGACAGACCCAAAGCAGGACACATTCTTTCCTCTCTATTGTTTTCAGTTAAGTGTGAGGTTCTTCTCTGTGCCTAGCAAAATGAGAAAGTAATAATTTGTGCCAGTAAATGTTTCTATGAATCACCTTATTTATGAGGGAAGTGGTTTTTAAAAAAAATACCAATACAGTTCCTTACTAGATTATAAAATGAGTGTGTGATCTAGTGAGAGAGGTAGTCTTGCAGCCCTAAGTATAGCATTTTTAAAAGATAATCCAGGACCATTAACTGATCTTTTAGAAGGGTGGTGGGCAGATAGCTGGATAAAGGTAAAGGTGAAAAATGTCTTATTGAAATAAGAGTAAACTGAACATCAAACAGTGATTCTGTAGTCAGCTGGGTACTGAGTTTGTGGCTAATTTAGGCTCCTGGTCTCTCTCTCTCTCTCTCTCTAGTCTGCTTTGACTCCTGTGGTATTTATTAACATTCACAGGCTGCCTCTGTGATGCCTCCCCACCCCGCCCAGTCTTAGGCTCACACCCTCCTCTGTGGCCTCAACCACTCTACCACTCTCCCATAACTGTCCTGCAGTTCCAAACACTGCTGCTTCCCTCTGGGTCTCGCCTAGGCAGAGTCTCCTGTTTTTTGCTCCTTGTGTATTTGGCGCTGAGCATAATATCCAGTGCTTACTAGACACTTGGCCATTTGAATTACTGTAGAAATGAATAAGCAAAGAGGGTTTACAAACATATAAACAGCCAACCAAGCAAAACGAAGTGAATGTGATCTAGAAATACCCACAGAGGTGTCACGGAGGGTGAGAAGTAATTCTAGAGAGAATCACAGAACACTTCCGAGGGGCAGTGTCTGAAGCTTAGGAGGGTTTGTAGATGCAGAGAAACATGAGCAAAGGATAGAAACACCAAATACATGGTACAAAGGGGGATGACGTAATAGTCCAATGATGGTGCAGCAGAACTGAGGGGAGGTTGGGCCATTACAAATCCCCGTGAATGGGGCGCCAAGGACTGGCCTAGTGGTGCAGGGCATGGGTGGGTTCTGGCTGCCACCACGGACTTGCTGACTGACTTTTGGCACATTTGCTAGCCCCTTGTCTCTTTTGCTCATCTGTGACTTGAGGGTAACTCTGGTGCTGGTGTGGAAGAGAAAAGAGAGTGAAGCCATGAGAGCAGCAAGGAGGCCTTTTGGTCAGCTGGTGCCTAACACAGTGCCTGCCCTCCATGGGCACTTAATAAATACATGAATTCATGAATGAATGATCCAGAGGAGAGATGCTGAGTGCCTGGGGTTATACACTAGGGCAGTGACTGTGGAGATGGACAAGTTAACTTTGCTACTTGCTCTTAGCTCTGAGAGGGGTTTAGATGAGAGATGTTGGAAAACGTAAAAAATTTTTAAGGTTTTTTTTTTCTGTGCCAACTAATATGAATTAATAGAAGACACTTATAATACATGAATGATAGTACTTATAAATTACATTTGTAATTTGAAGAAGGAATTTTAAAGATTATATTTCAAGACAATTTGGGGAAATCCTGAGAAAGGTGAGTGCCTTTCCACCTTGATGTCTTGCCTGCATTCTGTCATTTCCTTCATCTGTTCGTTTAAGGATGTCTCCAATTTCTTTTTCTTTTCTTTTTATTAGCTGAACACTTTCCAGGTGGTTTTGGCATCTGATGACTCCGATTCCTACGCCCTCTTTCTTTATCCGGCCAACGGTCTTCAGTTCTTCGGAACCCGCCCCAAAGAGTCCTACAACGTCCAGCTCCAGCTTCCAGCCCGGGTGGGCTTTTGCCGAGGCGAGGCTGATGACCTGAAGCGAGAAGGTTTATATTTCAGCTTGACCAGCACTGAACAGTCTGTGAAAAATCTCTACCAGTAAGTAACATGGAGCTTAAGCCTTTTTCTGTTTGAATATAAAGAATTTAGGACCCAAATCCTAGTGGCTATAGACCATTAAATTACCGTTTGGTGGCTTATAAGAAAGACTATGCATCAAACCCAGGAATTAGATTGGACCCAGGGAGAATCAAGTTCTCCAAGATGTAAAAGTCCTTTATTTTTCCTGCCCTGTTGAGTATAGATACCAGAAACAGAGCAGTGTGTGTGTGTGTGTGTGTGTGTGTGTGTGTGTGTTTGCAGAGCCACGGAGGTTTGCTATGAAAAACATTGCTCTTGGAACCACATAAAAATATCCAGTAGTATAAACTGCCTAGGTGGAGGGTTTTCAGGTTAATAATTTCACAGGGGAGGATTTAGTCTATTGGACAGATACTGTTAAAAATTAAATTAATATAATTTAGGAAAAAAATAAAACACATTTGTAAATGTTTAGAAGCCTCAGGAATTCTCTATGGCTTTATTACCTGAAGTTACACTAATTGATTTTCCATGGGGTAGCCAGAATTGGACCCATGTCATTGGCTTATTCCACAATTGCAATATTCAGCCCTGACCCGTTTTTTTTTTCAGTCCATTTAGGGGCAGTATGATTTTTATTAACCCTGGTATTTTGAGGGTTTTTTGTTTGTTTTGTTTGTTTGTTTGTTTTTGTCTTTCTTGTATCCCTTTCCTGACTATTGGTCCAGAAACCAGATGGAACACATTGTTTATCTCCTAGCCTCCCTTAACTGTGTCTCAGTTTCATTAAATCATCCCTGGGTATAGGAACACCTTACAGCTATGCATGGCATCTGCTCTGCTTGACTACCAGACCATGGGCACCGCAGTCAGATAAGGTTTCTCAGAGCTGACGTTTATTGAAAGCTTATTATCTGCTAAGTATTGTGCTAAATACTTTCCAAGTGTTATTTTAATTAAAAGTCACCAGAATCGCAGGAAGTAAGTACTACTATTTTCTAAATTTTACAAATAAGCTTAGGGAAGTTAAATCAGTTGCCTGTGATCTCAGAGTTAAGTGGCCAAGCCACAGCCCAAGTGCAGGTCAGGAGTGCTCAATTGCTTACTCTGTTTTATGCTGAGCCCTTGTCTCCTTTCCCATTCTGTGACCCACAGGGGGCATCTTTTGGTTTCTAGCTAGGCTTCTGTATAGTCTGGACTCTGGGGCAAACTTAGCTCCTTGTTCTCTCTCTGCTCCCCTCCCCTCTCCATCCTCCTCTTTTATTCAGGAGCATGTGTTCTCTGCTCCTCAGATATTATGAAAATGTTCACAGTGAGCCAAACACTTGCAGTATACAGATTTTTTAAGAGCCAGGCCCTGCACACCAATGACTTGTGCTCTGGTAATGTAGACAAATAGGTCAATCCAATCACAGAGTCTGGAGTAAGGGCTGACATCTACACAGGGCCCAGGAGCAGTGGGACCATAAAGCCCATGGGGAAAAAAGCAGTTGTGTCCCCCACCAGACTCCTGAAGGCCCTGGGATCTAACACTATACATGTGTGCAACAAGCACACAGCACTGCCACTTACCTCTCCAGACTGTCCATGTCTTCATCATTGATACTTTCCATACATCTCTTATTGTCTTGAGAATGGAATAAGAAATGGGGCCAAGGCAGGCTCTGAGGTGCAGTTCTGTAATCCCAGCAACTCAGGAGGCTGAGGCAGAAAGATTGCAAATTTGAGGGCAGTTTGGGCAACTCAATAAGACCCTATCTCCAAATAAAAATGAAAAGTTCTGGGGATGTAGAGCACCTCAGGGTTCAATCCCCAATATTACTAAGGAGGTGGAGAGAAATTGGGACCAAATGAAGTATGTAAAAAAAAAAAATGTACAGAAAATGCAGAACAATGTGAAATAAAAGTAAAAAGTACCCGTGATCACCACTTCAAGTGATAAACAGTGTTAGCTATCCTTCCTGTGTTTGAGGTACATACACAAACTTTTTAAAACACAAATTGTTTGTTCACTTTACATGTGGTATTTTCACATTGGTCACTGTCTCACAGGCACTTTTCAGTCCTATGTCTGTCTATATTATCATTTTGAGACAATAAAGCATTGCATCGTGTATGTTCTGCATTGTCCAACTTGTTGATGAACATTTAACATGTTTTTGAATTAAAGGAAGTGACAAATGACATTTCAGTTCACTCCTAAATACTTTGGTATGCATCACTAAAGAGTAGAGTTATTTTCCTTGTCAATGGAACCTTTCTTTTCCTGAAATTTGTCCTATACTGGTAAATTCAAAGGTCATAAATTAAATAATTCATAATGTTTGTCAGACTCTTCTTTTGCAAACTTAAATGTGAATGTGTACATTTGCATTTTGGTTGATTAAACTTTTCTGTCTTCTGGAAGATAGTAATACTAAGTAGGTAAATCATGCACAGGATGTGTACTAGGCATTTTGTGTGGTTTTCTCACTTAATCTTTCTAACAACCCAACAAGGAAGGCATTAGCATCCTATTTTGTAGCCTGGTTTTCCCCTCTAGGAAATAATTTCTTTCTATCACTAAGCCTTACAAATGATCTGGGATTTTATGATAAACTCAAAACTAGTTACTTTCCCATCATACACTATGACAAAATCCAGAATCATTATTTATATGTCATTAGAAGGCTATTTTATTTAGCTCTTATCTACCAGTATTTGCGTAGCCCTATCTGAAAGTTTTATAGTTTTCTGTTTCTAAATTCGAGAATAGATTTCAAAGCTGCAACACTTCTAATGTGATGATCAACTTAATATCCTAGACGGCTAGGATTTTCTCGTATCTTCTTTAATTTTCCTTTTTGCTTCTGAACAACACTAATTCTTACGAAAATACTGTTTTTGCATAGAATATTGTTCTAAGGATCACAGTTTTATTTTCTGTGCTCTTCTTTTCCTAGATTTACTACAGCAGCGGCAGCAGCATATACATACACTAACAAATGTGTGCATACGAGCACACACATACGCGCACACACACACACACACACACACACAAAAGAGAGAGAATCTCAAATTGTGTTTTAAAATATTTTTACTGTAAAAACCCAGATTAATATGATGAATACCTACCCCCTAAAGCAGAGATCTCTTGCTTTTGCAATTCAATACATTTTAAATATCTTATTCATTATTCACTCCTATTCTTCATTGCTGACTTTGGAGGAAATTCCATAGCATGGGAGAATTTGAGCATGCTATTTTGTACAAACAGCAGAAGAGTCTATAAACTGGTAGATTCAAGCTAGCCAGACTCTTGCTAGCTCAAGTTTCCTCTTAGTTTTAAAAATCTTATGGATAGTTGTTCTCTTCAGAATGTATCATTGACTCTAAAATAATGGATTATTGGGATATTTGGAAAACTGAATAATCATTGATACTTCCCAGTGGAGAAAATGAGTGATCTTTAGATGTTTTTGCAAAGACTTCTCACTTAAGACTCCTTTCATTTTAACAAGCTACATTCTTTTTTTGGTGGGGGGTACCAGGGATTGAACCCAGGGATGCTTAGCCACTGAGCTATATCCCCAGCCCATTTTTGTATTTTATGTAGAGACAGAGTCTTACTGAGTTGCTTAGTCTGGCTTTGAACTCATGATCCTCCTGCCTCAGCCTCCTAAACTGCTGGGATTACAGGAGCGCACCACCTCACCCAGATTGACTAAGCTACATTCTTATTTTCCCCTTAAATTTGTTCTGCATTTGCTCAAAATTTTTTAGACTTTAATGGTTACTGGGGTTTTTTTTTCAGAAATTTTTATTTGATTCTCCTTTCTCTGTGGATTAGTACATGGGGACAATAATGAAAATGTCTTTTTAACTTTCCTTAGAGTAGTGATAATCCAGGTGCTGACTATCATGATTTAGTTTTATGATATAATATAGATGTTTAAAGCATGGGCTTTAGTGTTAGCACTGAATTTAAGTCCAGGCTCTGGCAGCAATGAGTTATGTGATCCTAAGGATATTAGTGAACCTCTCTGAACCTATTTTTATCTTAGTAAAATTAGGCATGATCACCGTCTTTACCTTGCTGTGTTATGAAGAACGTGAAGCACTTGGCACAGGGCCTGGCACCTAACGAAAGTGTATAGTGGTCATTATTGTTTGAGTGTTTGGTGAAGAAATTGTGAGCATGAATTTTCTTGAGTATGTTACAAGTTTTCAGATTAAGTAGAGTAAGGATAAATTATTCCCACACTCCTTATTTGTTTTTAAATAGTCAGATTTTAGAAAAAATATTTGGATTGTAGAGCAGATTTATAACTTGATGGTCTGTACTCAAAACATAATGTTAAATTAAAGGTAGTTTATATCAAAATTCTAGCATATTCCTTTTACCATGCAAGTCTGCTTTTTTTGCAGGGGGGAGGATACTGGGGATTGAACTCAAGGGCACTCGACCACTGAGTCACATTCCTATCCCTTTTTTGCATTTTACTTAGATACAGGGTCTTACTGAGTTTCTTAGTGTCTCACTTTTTGCTGAGGCTGGCTTTGAACTCTCAGTCCTCCTGCCTCAGCCTTCGGAGCTACTGGGATTACAGGATGCACCCCTATGCCCGAGTGCAAGTCTGCATTTATTTGGTCTTATACATTAGTGAAAACACAAATCTCTTTTTAATCGTCTTTCTGTTTTTAAAAAAATTGCTCAATTTTGTGGGAAGGAGGATGAATGGATATTTTATTTACAATGTGCTTTTCCTTTCTATTTAGACTAAGCAACCTGGGGATTCCTGGAGTGTGGGCTTTTCATATCAGTAGCAGGTCCCCTCTGGACAACATCAGACCTGCAGCGGTTGGAGACCTTTCCACATTCCACTCTTCAGCTTCCCTGGAACATTCCTTCAGCCATGCTGCAGCTCTAGAAAGCGACTATACTGAGGACAATTTGGATTATTATGATGAGAATGAGGAGGAGGTTGAATACCCTCCAAGTGAACCAGAGGAGGCATTGAATGGCCACAGCAGAACTGATGTGTCCCTCCACTCGAAAACTGATCCAGGTCCTTTAGGAGGTGGACTCTTTCCTCCAGATTCTGATCTGGCCTCCCCTTTGCCACACCCAGCACCTAGTGATTGGCCACCCTCTCCTAAAACAGAATCTGCTACCTTAGACCCTCAAACTCAAAACGGAGCATCCCAGGGGGAGGTAGGCACCCCAGATTTGGAAGATCGAGTGGAAACTTTGGACCAGACAGACACCAGAAGCCCAAGTCCACCCGAGGTAGATGGAGAGTCACTGGCTCCTCCCAGGGAAGGCCCACCACCTTATCCTGGAAATAGAGGCATCCAGCCCTACCCAGATGGAGGGGCCATTCCTTCAAAACCCCACATTCCTGCCGCCCATCCTGAAGGAGAAGGCGAAGTTGTTCTTCCTAATTACTCTGTGCCAGGTCACCCTTCACCCCCAAATCGAGGGAGGTACACGGTAGGAGCAGGGGACGACATCAGTTCCAGCACTGAGGGTAAGTGCATCAGAAAAGCAGGCGCTGGGATTTCACTTTTTAAATGCTGGTCTTGGGTAGAGTCGTGATTTTTCTCTCAAGCGAGTAGGTGAAAAGTTTAGCAAGAAGATTGGAACTGAATTTTACTCCCTGTGTTTCAGCAGATAAATTTCTTCTGCCAAACAAATCTTGGCAGGCAGATTCTGGTTGGAGTCTCTTGACCATTAATAATGTGTTTTTAAAAATGAGCCTCACAAAATGAGCGGGGAAGAACTGGTTTGCTTGTGCCAGCTGCGCTCTCAAGTGTACTGAAGTATTTCAGTCTGAAAGTTCAGCAAAGGTGAAGCATTTTGAGGCTTCATGTGCAGAGCAGGGAAGGAGGGCTGAACACTTTGGTTTTGAGTCACGGGTGGTGCTAGCTCTGATGCACAGGCCAGATTTATGGGACAATCCTTGCACTCCCCTTGGTGGTAGACACACTTGTGATGTGTGGGTGAGCAGAGCCATGGGGGGAGAAGATGGCGGCACACCTGTGTCTGCTGTCATTTCTGGTTCATGGCCGTGCAGCTGTGGTGTCCTCCTCCCTGGAGCCTTGTCCTCATTTCATGATTCACTGACTGGAGCTGGAAGGAGTAGGAGGCAGGGCTTCATCAACAGCCTCTTCTTCCCATTGGAGTCTTGTCTTGTCAGCTCTTTCTTCCTGGTCAGGGCTGTAAAGGTGTGAATGGGAAACTGACCACAGATTTATTCCATTTGTTCTAAGGACAGCACATCTGACCTCTACCAGGAGGAAAGAGCTCAGAGGCAGACACTTTCTTTTACACCTCCATTTTTTTTCACCTTTTCTGTTTTCCATCCTCATTATGACAAAAACATGCCCATCTAGGTTCAGCTGTGGCATTGGGCAGCAGGATTTTGCCTGGAAAAGTGCTTATTTCAAGAGGGAAGAAAATATTTTGTGACTAATGTGGTATTGTGTAACAATAGAGGAAGAGCATGGGTGTTAGACTTGAATCCTGGCTGCCTCAGGCAACTCGCATAACACCCAAATCTCCTGCTTCTTGTAGCTTCATTGGGAGGATTACATGAGATAATAGGTGTGAAGTACTTAGTGTCTACACTGGTAGATTCTAGGAACGTGCTACCCATATCCAACAGCAGAGGCATGAAATTAGTTTGTTTGTGACTTTTGCATGCGAAGCTTCGTGAAGGAAAGAACTGTCTTCTTTATCCCTCTATCTCCTGATTTATGCTTTTTCTTAAATAGTTGTTGAAGGAAGGTGTGATTCAGAAAAATGGACCAATCTACTGCTCTGTAGACTCAGGATGAGAATAAAGTACGAGCTAACTCCTGAGCACCTTATCATCATTCTAAGCACACAGTTTTTATTTTTGGTGTTTTTGTTGTTTGTTTGTTTTGTTTCATTATTAAATCCCAAAAGTGTTTCTTGAAAAAAAAAAAGGTGGCTACTGTTACTAATTTTAGGAAATTAAAAACAGTGGAAATAGGGTGGAGGATGGGAGAGAATGAAGAAAGTGCTTATTCAAGAGCTTTGCCTTGATTTGTGTCTAAGGGACCTCATTTCTGTAAAGCTAAAAATGGAGGTTTTATTGGAAGACTTCAGAACCTTAACTATTTCGAACAGTCTCCAGAATTCTCAGTATGAGTTCTCTAAAGGAAATTTAAAGCCAAAGTGTCAAAGATTTTCACAAAAGGGTTTTGAGGTAAAGATGTAGTCCTCAAAGGCTTTCCATTTGTGGTTTGTGATTTCCTGCTCTGAGAAGAGTCCCATGCAGTTGTCTGTTAAAGACCTAAGAAGGGGCGGCACGTGCTGCTTTGAGCTGTGAGATGGAGTAACAGTGTGGGAGATTTGCCATTGAAAAGTGAAGGCACTCACCTTAACACTGGCGGGACATGAACTGTGACTTATGTCAGCTGCTGAATGTAGCCTACCACTGAGAGTTTGGAAATGGCAAAATGCAAATAAAAATGCTGAGTAATACACTGAGATATTTAGGGAAAATAATAACTAGAAGTTTGCAAGTGTTGAAAGAGAGCCAGCATTTTTTTTTTTTTTAAGGAATTTACGGAGAGATGGGAAGTGAGGGAACATGGAATTGTGTGTGTGTGTGTTTAATAAAACATTGAGCCCCAGAGGTGCATCAGGTAGAGGTGCACTCACTCTGGAAGCTGGGGACATGGGGACACTTAGAATATTGTAACTAGGAACCAGCCATGTGTCATCTGCCTGCCCTTTTCTGCAGATGAAGTAAAAAGTGCATGGGTTTTAGTGCCTGGTGGACTTGAACTTGATTCTACCTCTGCTGTGTGGTTTCAGGCAAGACATGGACTCTGTTTGACCCTTGTTTTCCCTCAACTATAAAATGAAGATAACACAGACCTCATTAAGTAGTTATCAAAGTTAAAATTGGGCCTGGGAAGCTCCACACCCTATAAATTTTAGTATCCCTTTTAAGCTTATAGTAGTCATCTTGCCAAGCCAAGAAATTAAGATTTAAAGGCCCAGAAAACATTTCTTGTCTTTTTATTTATTTGTTTTTCTCATTAGGTACTCTTTTTTACAAACTATTTTTTTTCTTTAAATTCAGAAATCTAGATTCTTTTCAAATTAGGTTTTCATCAGGAAAGAATGTCCTCATCACACTCAGGTTCTGGCCCCAAGTGTTCTATTTTTGTAGACTTGAGAACTAGCAAAGCAGTGGCTGTATGTGTCTTTTCTCTGAGACGTCTGCTTCCAGGGAGCTCCAGCTGTTTGCTGTCAAGCCAGACATTACCCGAGTCCCTGCTATGTACTTTTCTCTGAACTGTGTGCCATGGAAGTTTTCATGAGTGTTTATTGAGTGCCCACCAGTTCTCTAAGCGGGATCTTTTCTTCAATTGTATTATCTTGGTTAGTCCTCAGAATGGCCTCTGAGGTAGTTTCGGTAATCCTTTCCATCTTGCAGAGGCAGAAAGCGAAGGTTGGGAATACATAGTGACTCACCTAGTAAGAGGCCGATGGAGATTCCAAGGAAGAATGGGGGAAGTCTGTGGGGTACCCCAGGGATGGGTGGTAGGTGGATGTCACTGTAGTCAGAGAACGTTTGCTGAAAGAGAAGCTTCTCCAGCCAGGCCTCGGGAGTCTGAAATAAAAGAGAGATAAAGTATGAAATCATTCTAGATAGAAGAATGACAAGAGTGGAGGTACAGAGGTAGAAATGGGAGGGAAAAAGAGAGGTGAGGAGAGAGAGGGAAGGAGTAAGTGGGAGTCCCCAGAGAAGACTTCAGCCAGCTAGGACCAGGGACTGCCTGCATTGGGAGTAGCAAGGAAGCAGATTGATTTACCGGGGTCTTAGATGTCCTTAAGCTTGCTGAGGTGCTGCTATAAGAAGCTTAGTTTAATCTTGGCCTGTATGGCAAAAGGAGAGGGGCACCCCATGGGGGATCTTCTTTCTACTTGGATGGCAGCCATGTTGGGAAAGCCCAGCCCGAGCAGGATTTCCAAGACCTGAAGTTTCACTCTACTTCTGTCCTTAGGGTGGGTGGTGGGTGCTGCAGGAGTATATTGCTCCCTGGATGTCCACCCTGGGATGAGCCTGAGCAGGCACTGCTCCCAGGACAGCCCTTCAGGCATAAAAACCTTATGTTCCTGGTATATCTCCAGGTTGCTGAGGCCTGGGGATGAAGGCCCTATACCTGTGAGTACAGCTACATATAGAGAGTTCTTGGTAAGGATCCTGTTCCTTCTCCAGAAGTGGAGAGAGACTGTTAGTGTCATGCTAGTTGATGTAAACTGCTGCCCGCAAGGTCCTGAGCACTGTTTGCCACCTGCATCACTGTACCCAACACATGCATCAGAAATCAACTACCATGGAAGGGAAGGCAGGGCACTGCTTTTCCTTATAAAGTGGGATGTGGTTCTTTTTTTCTAGTCTGGCTTTCTATCAATCAGTCCTGAAGTGAAAGTGTTCATTCTTTTTCTTGAGAAGGCAATGAAGAGTTGTTAAAAGTAAGTCACTCCAGCCACCATGGAGGCAGCCAGTGCCGGAAGCCCTCTGTCCTCCTGTGGCCATGAACTTGGTCCACTATGGAGCCTGCCTACCTCCCACAGTGGGGCCAGAGCCCTCAGTGAGGAGGGCAGGCAGGCCAAGGGCAGGCAGGCCAAGGGCTGAACACCAGTGCTTAAGTGCAGCTGAAAAAATGAAGATTGAAGGATGGGTCAGAACAGCGCAGCAGAGAAGAACTTTCCACTTTTGTTAAAAATTCCCAATTAGGACAAGTCTCAAGTACTTTGGCAGTGCCTTTGTTTCTTTTCGCTTATGTATCCCCACCCCATTTTTCTTTCTATTAAAGGATATGAGAAGAGTATAAAAAAAAACAAATGGAAAAAATACGCGAGATTTTAAAAAATCCTCATGTTAAGATTCCTTTAGCAACTCTCAAGCCTCAGTAGGCAAATCTGTGACAAATTGAGTTCATTCAAACCTGGCAGCCTTAGCCCACTGCTGTGTACAGAGATGCCATCAGCTCAGCTCTGTATCATCTCAACTTCCCATGACAGAAGCCCATGGGATCAGAAGAGAAAGCCATGGAATAAAAACATATTTGTCAATATTATAGTCCCCTCTATCTAATTTACCTGGGCTCTGGTTAGAAATACTGCTTTTTTTTTCTCCTTCCTCCACCTTCTGAAATAGAATCAGCATTTTACAACCAGATACCCCCGGTGATTCTGATGCCCACTGAACGTGAACACTGCTGGTATAAAATGGAAAGAGCATGGGATTTGGAGCCAAAAGATTGCTGATCTCTGTGGGCCTCTGTTTTCTCATCTTAAAAATGGAGATAATATCTCCTTACCAAAATAGGAAGAAGGTTTGCAAATACATCCCAACAATAATGACACATGCAAGTGGCCACTGAAAGGAAAAAGTGCCACTTTGTATTAGATGTGTCTGTTGGACCATTCTCTGGGCTCCAGATCTTAATTCCAATCCTACACTGCCTCTCTGAATCTAATTCCCATAGAAATTGAGATATCACATTGGCCAGAAGTCTGGCTTCTCTTGCTCTGGAAAGATTGGCACGTGTGGGTACACATTTCTGGTTCCAATTCTCCCCCATCATCAGGGAAGGGACCTATAAAAGGGACCAGGCTATTGTGTTTCTGTGTTACCTCCACTAAAAAAATCTTCATATTGTATTCTTGTAGCTGAAGGCCCAAATGGGCCATAAGCACCCAGCTCCATATCAGATAGATGGCCAGGAATGAGCATAAGTTAATTCCTTGCATTCCACCCACCCAGGAGCTGCATTTGGGTCAAACTCATTAAGCATGTTAACTCAGAAATGAGAAGCTTGTGAGGATCCTATGTGGTCACTAGAAGCTGTCATTAGATTCTTTGGGCTGGGTTAAAGTGCAGATCCCTGGCATCAGCCTGTAGACTTGACTTGGTAGGTCTAAGTGGGGCTCAGAGTCGACTTTTTTAATAGACATCTCAGGTGATCCTGATGCTGTGGTCTCTGGAGTCCACTGAGAGGAATGCAGCTCTCCTTGTGAAGGGTTGAGGGGTGCAAGGATGAGGGTCAGTTGCTGTCAGGACTGGAGTGAATTTCCCTGAGGTCCCCAGCTGTTGCCAAAGCTCTTCATCCCCACAAACCTACCCTCCACAGGAAATGCAGCACCACCTTCTAGTTTCCTACACCAAGACTCCAGTCGTCCTGGACTGCCCCCTCTCTTTTCCTCACACCCAACATCCAGTCCTTCAGCAAACCCTTTAGGTTCCACCTTCAAAATATCCTAGATCTGGTCCCTTCTCATGTTCTCTGCTAGTAGCTTCTTAAACTACCATGGCACCATCCCATTCCCGACTTACTGTAGGTCGGATCATGTCACTCTTCTGCTTAGAACCCTCCAGTGGCTTCCCATCTTGCTCATCCTGAAGCCCAGATTCTTCCTGAGACCCTACATGAAGGTGAAGGCCTAGGCTACCTCTCTGCCCAGGTGCCTTCCTGCCCATATGGTGAGTGCCCTGCCCCATGAGTTCATGAGGCTCACTCCCTCACACCCTCTACATCTCTGCCCAAAGGTCATCTTTTTTCAATGTCCATGTCATTTAAAAGAATGAAGCACACCCGCCCCCTCCCTCCCTCTTGACTTTCCCTACACAGCTCTTAACACATCTGCCATACTTGTTCTTAACTGCTGCCCAGGAGAAAATAAGCTTCAGAACAGGGATTCTTGTCTCCCTTGATCCCAGCTCTATCCCTGATTTCTATACCGGAGCTAAGTGTAGAGGGAGTGTTCAATAGATATTTTTCTGGTTATTGAATGAATGAAAGAAAATTGCAAGAGGCATTTGCCTTTCACCTAAATTAACAGCAGCCATTTTAAGTGTTGAGTGTGTAGATCTGTGTGTACATCTGGGTGTGGAGACTGGTGTGGAAGAGGCATTATAAGGGGAGCAAACTCATCTTTTTTTGTTGTGGCTGCAATGGGGCTGGAAGGCTGTGTGTGTGCTTGGCTCAGTAATTTTCATCCTAAAATTACAATTTTCTATTTAAAAAAAAAAACCTATTTGAAAAGATTCTCAGGTGAACATGCCATTAACTAGTTAGCCCATGCAAGAGTTTGAATTTTATATTGATAGCCTTTTTTGGGATTTTTTTTTGATAGAAAAATATAATGTGGCTTCCCATAAACTCACAAACCTTTGCATAATTGTGTATGTTAAGTTGCTGGCTGTGTTGCTGTGACTCTCTTTTTACCTGCATAAAAGCTATGATTATATCAATTTTTTTTCAGTTAAGTTAACTGAACTCTTTGGATCTATACTCTCTCCTCTACCCACTTGATTTATAATCTAGTCTTAGAGTAGGAACTGGGCCAAAGAACAATTCTTTACAAAATTAATGGAAACAGAGGGACTATAACACAAATCCATCATTTCTTAATTTGCGAAACAGTGTGTACAACTTGGTTGTATATGTAGCTGAATTTTCTGAAGATGCCTGTCCTTTACATTTGCATCAGATGGCCTTTTTGCCTTGGTTCTTAGAAGTATGGTAAGAAAAAAAGTGTGACTTCTGGCAACACAGGTGTGGGGAAGGTGGTGTCATCCTGATTTTAGAGAGGACAGCGCTAAAACACAAGTCCATTGTCTGTGCAGAGCTACCTAAGATGGTAGAGCTTATCAGGGAACACACTTGGAGCTGCTTTACACTTACTTGTGACTTTCTGAGCTGGAAAAACCTGAGAGGTTACATTCATTTCTTTTAATCCAAAATGGTCCTCCTTCCTTTTTTAAACCAATGGTGGACAATGATAATTTTCTGTATTCCAACCTCTATAATATTTTTATCATGATCTGTTCTGCTTCTTTTTTGTCTTGAATTTTGTCACTTTCCTTTTTTAAACATGAAAGTAGTTATGCATGTCATTTTCCTATTTGAAAAGCTGAGTTATGCCTAATTCTCTATTTTTATCAAGCTGGAATTTCTTAGCCAAATCATCAAGGCTTTGTAGCCAATCTTGAGTCACTGACTCCAGGCCTGCTCTGTTCTTAATCAGATTTTCCACTTGAATCAAGGTTATCTATTTGACCTCCAACCCCTCAGCTTGCTGCTTTTTTGTAAACAGCTTTCGAGTACTGTCCAGAAACCAATGGTATTGCTATTCTCACTGCTCCTTGCCTGTGCTTTTTTAAAAAAATATGCACCTGGATGATCTTCTCTTCCTACCATTAAATCTGATTTGTAGAGTCTGACTCAAAACTTCCTCCATTGGAGTCTATGCTGACTAACCCCAAACACCTAATCGCTTCCTTATCCTAGGCTCACCATATATGTACCCGTGTCCCAAAGGAGGGTGGTAAAGAGTCTCAGTTAAAATTCCAAAAGCAGACTTCCTGGCTTCCAATCCACCTTTGCTGTGTACTTCCCGTGTGACTTTCAGTGAGTCTCTTTCATCCTCTTTGCCTCCGTTTCTTTATTTGCAAAACAGGGATTAGAAACAGTGCCTATGCAGGGCGTGGTAGTGCACATCTGTAATTCCAGCTACTAGGGAGGCTGGGGCAGAAGGATCAAAACTTCAAAGTCAGCCTTGATAATTTAGGGAGACCCTGTCCCTAAAATTAAAAGGGCTCTGAGTGTAGGGCTCTTGTGAAAATGAATCTGAAAGTTTTGGAAGAGTATCTGTCATCTGATCAGTACTAAAATGTTCACTTTGTTAACATTTTTATTTGCTGAAACAAGTCTGTGGCTACGTTGTTACATATATGGTACTGTATCTTCTCCCTCTGGTTTGGTTCTCTTCTCTGATGAAATACAGAGTAAATATTGATCTTTTGATTTCTTCCTTCCCTTCGTGTTTCCTGCACAATGATATGTATTTGTGAGTAGGGTGGCCTTCTTTGGGAGCTCCATGACAGCATCTAGAGTCTCACACCTTCATGCCAATCCTGCCTTATCAGTGGTCTTCTGGAGTCTCCAATCCACTCCATCTCCTGGGGTCTCAGAGGCTGAGGGGTATACAGCTGCTTCACCTCCTGGTGGCCATGCTTGGGATGAGCACATCCCCCAGTGTCCTGGGAGAAAGCACCCTTGTGTCCTTCTTTGAAATGCTCCTCCTACCTCCAGCTGTATCCCATTACATTGGCCATTTTCTTTATGGACGATGACATTTGCTCCAAGTCCCCTGTTTCACTGTTGTGCAACTAGTCCCCACACTTTTTTTTTTAAATGGGTGAAGTACACGGGAGATGGGAGCAACAAGCAACAGTGGCTGGAGCATCAAGATTACCTTAGCATTCTAGAAAATGTGACCATAGCTCAAGCTCTCTACTGTTGCGTGGAAACCATTCTTGTGCTCTACCCTAAACAGCAAACCCTGCAATGGTGCAGAATGTTTTAATAGCAGGATTCCCTTCCTTTCTCCCTCCTCTACTCGCTTCTCCCCACACACTTTCTTTAAGCTACATTCTTCTTTCGTTTATTTATTGATTGATTTTTATTTTTTAATACATAACAGCAGAATGCATTACAATTCTTATTACACACTTCATATACAAACAGAGATATGAAAAATTAAGCTACATTCTTTAAGGCTCTTCTTTCTCAAAGTCAAATTCTGGGAAGTGAGACCAGCTATAGGTTACTTTTAAGCTCAGGGTTACCTGGAAGAAGAAAAGTCAGACATAGATCACATTCTTCAACTCCTCACCTCTGTAATTCCCCTGAGCAGGCCATTACTATTAGGTTGAACCATACAAAGTTGCTAGCATTTGACCATTTTTTGATAAAGGTCAACCTAACTGTGCACTTGCTGGTTTCCCTTCATTTCTCTGCTCTTGGACCTCAGTGGGGCAGCCTCATCTTAGTTCACCTGCTTTGAAATAAGACCCAGATGACAGCAGTAAGCTGCGCTTCTTGTCAGAGGACAAAACAAGTTAATTCCCTTGAGTCCAGTGTTATTTCTGTCTCTTAAACATCAAACACCTATTTGTTTATTATAATCCAAACCGATTTTGTGGAGCAGATGCTGTGGCCTGATGACTCTGGCAGGCACAATGCTGGAAATGCTGTCATCCTCATGCAAGTTTGTTTTATTTTTCAGTCTTTACATATAATTCTGCCAATAAGGAAACCTGTGAACACAACCATGGGCGGTGCTCCCAGCATGCCTTCTGCACGGATTATGCCACTGGCTTTTGCTGCCACTGCCAGTCCGGGTTTTATGGAAATGGGAAGCACTGTCTTCCGGAAGGTGATTGGCTGGGGCACAGGGGTGGGGCCTGGTCTGTGTGTGTTCTGCTGCCTGCTAGTTTCCAGCTACCACTGTGAGCTCTGCTTTGTGGACCTAGCAACTTGCCGGTGCTCAATGAATGAATGTTTGAGGAACAAAGACATGTGGGCTGATTTACCAATTTGAAATTATCCAGAGATGTCCTCCTCCCTTTGCCCCCAGCTCCTTAGAGCCAAAGGGGACAGGAGGCTAGGAGAAGAGATCCCAGACAGGACCTTTTCATCATTGGATAATTGACTGGTTAGGGCATCATTAAAATGGTCAGTGGAATCGTTTTGTCTGTGTGCTCCCCTCTGGAACTTGGCTGAAGGCCAGGGCTAATTAGGCTTACCATCTTCTAGGGGCACCTCATCGAGTCAACGGGAAGGTGAGTGGCCACCTCCACGTGGGCCAAACACCTGTGCACTTCACTGACGTGGACCTGCATGCTTACATTGTGGGCAATGACGGCAGAGCCTACACAGCCATCAGCCACATCCCACAGCCCGCAGCCCAGGCCCTTCTCCCCCTCACACCAATCGGAGGCCTCTTTGGCTGGCTCTTTGCCTTGGAAAAACCAGGCTCTGAGAATGGCTTCAGCCTCACAGGTGAGTGGCACCCGAGAGGGCTGATAGCACTGCCTTGTGCTGTTGCTCCTAGGGGCAATGTCTTGAGGTTTTATACAGGGAAAGGGGATTTTCTCATTGTTGAACCCACATATGTGGTTCTGCCCATAGTTGGGAATGGTTTGGCTTTGTACAACTGAATTTGTGTGTCTGTGTGTAGAATTGGGCCTTGAACCCAGGATCTCAGACATGTTAGGCAAGTGCTGAGCTACATCCAACTGTTTTTATTTTGAGACAGGGTCTCACTGAGTTGCCAAGGCTGGCCTCAAACTTGGGATCCTCCTGCCTCAGCCTCTAGTAGCTGGGATTACAGTGCAGCTACCCTGCCCATCTAGGGCTGATTTTTGAAAGAGCAATTACTTCTAAATGTTCCTCCAGTTGTTCTGAGAAATAGGCTGATTCCATTTTGGAGTGTTTGTGTCCTCTTGCCCCAATTTGTTGGAGTGCATTTGTGAAGTTTTGTTTGCATTATTGTATACAGATCTGTCAAGGAGATGCAAAAACAATATACCTACAGAACATCTGGAGATGACTTTACTTCATGGAGGAGAGGCTGCTTTTTCTCCTCTTACACCTCTACATTTCTTACGTAGAGTGGTGCAGACCAGTGCTTTTCAGACTTTAATCTGCCTGCAAATTGCCTGGATGATTTGTGGGCATGGAAACTCTGATTCAGTAGGCCCGTAGTGGGGTCTGCAATATCTTTTCTAACCAAGCTCCCAGGAGATGCCAGGACTGCTGGTCCTTTTGATAGCCAAAGTGTGGGGGAGACTTTTTGTCTTTTCACCTGAAAAAACTTGTTTCCTTTTTTGCATGTAAAGTAAAAGGATGAGAGAAGTTTTTTTTTTTTTTTCACCTCCAGCAGCAGAGCTCAATGGCTGTTTATAGGATCTTGCTGTTAATCAATATTTGAATAACCTTGGGTCAAAAGTAAATAAAATATAGCACACCAAGTTAAATTTGAATGTCAGATAAGCAATGATTTTTAAATTATAAGTATACCCCAAATATTGCATGTGGTGTGTATAAAAGATATATTCATTGTTTATCTGAAATTCAAATTTAACTGGGTATCTGGTTTATGGGTTTGTGTTTTGTTTTTGCCTTGCTTATTTTTGCTAATTCTGGCAACCTTGGATAGGTCAAGGAGGTTTCCAAGAGTCTGTTTCTCACAGAATATAAGCTCCTATAAAGAGAAACAGTGCATGGTAATGAGATCAGACACGTTGATTGAACATTTGAGGAACTTAAGGAGTTAAATAGCTGATAGGACTCAGTCTGAACATCAGGTGATCTTTTTAGGCACCATCTCCCACAGTAGTAGAAGCTGGGAGGAGGAAACATGTGCTGGGATTGCTGGGGATCGAACCTAGGACATTATGCATCCTAGACAAGTGCTGTACCACCAAGCTTGAGGCCCAGCCCCAGCCAGTACTGGCTGTTATTTAAGCAAGGCTTTTATTAACCTTTTTGCTGAATTCTTTTCCTCACCAGGTGCTACCTTTATCCATGACACAGAAGTTACTTTCTACCCAGGAGAGGAAAGGGTTCGAATCACTCAAACTGCTGAGGGACTGGACACGGAGAATTATCTGAGCATCAAGACCCACATCCAAGGACAGGTGCCCTATGTCCCAGCAAACTTCACAGCCCATATTACTCCCTACAAAGAGATTTACCATTACTCAGAGTCAGGTATGTATAGCCAGTACTCACCTCTTAGAAAATGGGATTGATACCTGTCTCCCAGGATGGTTACGAAAATTAAAGGTATAACTACATGGAAAGTCCTAGAACAGTGTGTGGCAGATAACATGAGCTCAATACCAGTTTTATTCTTGTTACTCTTATTATGACATAGTGTAAGTGAGCAGAGTGCCAGCTATCATACACAAATTCCCCACCCAGTACTTTCAAATAGTAATAAGATAATTAATACCAACATTATCTCTGGGGGTGGGTAGGGATGATATAGATATAGTCGTCTTCTTCTTCTTTTTTTTTTTCCAGTACCAGGGATTGAACTCAGGGGCACTCAACCACTGAGCCATATCCCCAGCCCTATTTTGTATTTTATTTAGAGACAGGGTCTCACTGAGTTGCTTAGCACCTTGCCATTGCTGAGGCTGGCTTTGAACTCATGATCCTCCTATCTCAGCCTCCCAAGCTGCTGGGATTACAGGGGTGCTCCGCCACACCTGGCTGAGATGATGTAAATATGTACAGATTTTACTCTCTGGAGCATGACAAAATATTATTAGAATTTGTTGGGCTGGGGATGTGGCTCAAGTGGTAACGCGCTCACCTGGCATGCCCCAGGCGCTGGGTTTGATCCTCAGCACCACATAAAAATAAAATAAAGATGTTGTGTCCACTAAAAACTAAAAAAATAAATATTAAAAAATTCTCTCTCTCTCTCTCTCTCTCTCTCTCTCTCTCTCTCTCTCTATCTATATATATATATATATATATATATATATATTAAACACACACACACACATATATATATATACATTAGAATTTGTCCTATAACCTTGTTTTAGCTCATGATTTTAGTCTGCTTTAAAAGCTACAGAAAGATGCTATAGAGTATTATAAAGCTAATGAAAGATTTGGAGTCAGAAATTACAAATTCACATCCTGGGCTTGCCTTTTATAACCTGTGGGAAAGATCACTTAACATGAGAGCCTCTTTTCTCTTTCTTCTTTGTACTAGGGATTGAACCCAGGGCTTTGCCTATGCTAGACAAGTGCTCTACCTCAGCCCTATTGTCTCATCTTTAGCATCAGAATAAAAATATCTTTTTCTGTCCACCTTACACGGTTGACTAATTGGCTGATAAATTGTGTGAGGTGCAACATACTCTGTAAATCATTACCCATGAGCAAGAAACTGTGGCAGCCATAGGTGGCTGTTTGGCAGCACAGTGGTTTGGCTTGAGCTGCTCCTCCCCTGGCCCTGGTTTCTCCTGTGGTGTGAGAACTGGAAGCTGGACAGAAGATGTAGGGAAGAGAATGGGAAGCAGCGACCTGGCCTGTGTTCAGAATAGCCAAAGGCCAGATGACTGCCCTGGGCCCAACTCCCAGACTGAGAGGAAACCACCGTTTCCTTTCCCTGAAACCCTGCAGACTTAAGTGCAAGTCACTGGCAGCTGTCACCTCTGCACAATGTATGGGATGGGCTGGTTCAAATCTTGGGGCAGAGAGCCAGATGGTCTAGAGTTCCAGTTCCAGTTCTGCCACTTCTCAGCCCTGCTTCTCAGGCTATCTACTTCACTTCTACCAGTCTCTGCTCACACAATGGTAGTGCCCACCTCGCAGGGCTGGCACATAGCATCGTCTCTTCCTTATACACCGTGGCAACAACTGTAGTGCCTCCTCCCTCTCAGCACTGTGGCTTCGTATCCACTCTGGTTCTTGGGCTATCCTTGCAAGTCTCCCATATAAACTCAAGGCATTCCCAAGGGAAGTGCTGAGGAATTAGATGAAAAAACAAACAAACAACATAGAAAAATCTACCTCCATGAAAATCTCTGTATTTAATATTTAAAAATTTTTACCTGTTTGCCTATAAAATGTCTGTTGCAGCTATGACCTCCACAAGTTCCAGAGACTACTCTCTCACTTACGGTGCAATCAACCAAACGGGGTCTTACCGTGTCCACCAGAACCTCACTTACCAGGTGTGCAGGCACGCCCCCAGACACCAGGCCACCCCCACCACCCAGCAGCTGACTGTGGACCGGGTTTTTGCTTTGTACAGTGAAGACGAAGGAGTGCTTAGATTTGCTGTGACCAATCAGATTGGCCCTGTGGAAGGTAAGGTTTCTCATTTGTAACGCTGGGCCAAAGTTCTAGCCTTCTTGAGAATTCTCAGAACAATTCAGAGATTAGTAAGAGTTTGGGAGTGCCAGAGTCTGTGTGCAGTGCTGGGTGTGAGGACGAATCAAGCTGGGTCCCTGTCCTTGAGGTGGAGGTGGGCAGAAATGGAACCTGCAGAACAAGGTCCCGGCCACGCTCAGGAAACAGGACAGTACCTGAGCCTGGTTTGTAGCAACGCAAACAGTACATGCCCATGGTGGGGTATGCCTGGGCATGGGGAAGAGGGAGGCAAGTTAGGAGGGAGACTGATGCTGGTGAGCACTGATTACCACTGTGACAAATGCAGAGGGCCTAGTCTAGAAGGGCAGGGAGGTTCCCCCAGGAAGGGACATTTTAGCTAAAGCCTCGAGGATTTCACCAAACCAAACCAGGACCTGGAAAAATGAAATGGAACCTCATGTGTGAAGAACTCACAGTAACACTGTGCTTCACAGTGAAAGACTGGAATTTCCCCCCTAAGATCAGGAGTGAGACAAGGAGGCCCTGCCCTCTCCCTGTCTGCTCAACATGCTACTGGAAGTTCTAGCCAGGACAGTTAGGCAAGATCATGAGATAAAAGACATCTAAATTGGAAAGGTAGAAGAAAATTATTAGTAGTAAAATTATCTCTATTCTCAGATGACATGATCCTTTATGTACAAAACCGAAGGAATTCACTTAAAAAACCCCTATTAGAACAAATAAATTCAGCAATGCTGCAATGCACAAGAACAACCTACAAAAAAAAATTGTGTATCTGTTATAATATGGAGCAAATTGAAAATGCAATTAAGAAATTTCATTTTTAAAAATAAAATACTCAGGAATTAAGTCTTTTTTCTTTTCTTTTTTTTAAAGAAGTGTGAGACTTGTCCATTGAAACATAATTTTTTTTTTTTTTTTGGAAAAAAATAAGACCCCAAAAAAGTGGGACTATGTTCTCTGTTCATTAATTGGAAGACTTACTATTATAAATATGACAGTACTTCCCGAATTGTTCTATTGATTCAACACAGTCCCTATCAGTATTTCAGCTGGCTGCTTTGCAGAGATTGACAAACTGATTCTAAAATTCATATTGAAGTTCAAGCAACCAGAATAGCCAAAATCTTGAAGCATGGTGTTGGAGGACTCAGACTTCTCAATTTTGAAACTTAGAGTAATCAAGACAGTGTGCATCTGGCATATGAACAGACACATTGATTAATGGAATAAAATTGAGAATCCAGATGTAAATGCTCATATTTTCAGCCAGTTGGTGTTTCAACAAGAGTGTCAAAACAGTTCAATGGGGAAATAAGTCTTTTTAATAGATGATGTTGAGACAATTTACTATCCACATGCAAAAGAACAAAATTGGACCTCATAGCATATTAAAAAATCAACTCAAAATGGGCCAAAGACCTAACTCTAGGAGCTAAAACTTTTAGAAGAAAACATGGGGGTAAATTTTTGTGATCTTGAATTTGGCAATGATTTCTTAGAAATGGCACTAAAAGCACAAGCAACAAGAGGAAAAACAAATAGGTGTCATGAAGATTTTAAAAATTTGTGCTTCAAAAGACATTATCAACAATGTGAAAATATAGCTGTGGAATGGGATAAAATATTTGAAACCCTAGGGTCAAATCCCACTGCTATAAAAATATTCTTTTTTAATGATGTTTAATAAAAGACTTGTTCTAAAGTATATGAAGTATTGTTACAACTCAACAATTAAAAGAAATTGAATGAAAAGATGGACAAAAGATCTGGAAAGATATTCTCTAAAAAATGATACACAAATATCCAATAAGAACATGAAAAGATGTTCAACATCATTAGCCATCAGGGAGATGCAGTTCAAAACCACAGTGAGATATTACTTTACATCACAGGGATAGCTTTAAAAAAAAGTGTTGGTGAGGATATGGAGAAATTGGAACCCTCATTCACTGCTGCTGCTGTGTGTAAAATGGTGCAGCTGCTGTGGAAAACAGAAGAGCAGTTTCTCAAAGTTAAACCAGAGTTACCATTTGACAGAGCAATTCCACTCCTAGTTATGTGCCTAAGAGAAATGACAACTCTGTGCTCACAAAAACTGGTGCAGAAATATCCATGGCATCATTATCATAATAGCCCAAAGGTAGAAGCAACCTAAATGTCTGTCAACTGATGAAAGCAAACAAAATAAAGTCTTTGGTGCATACAATGGGATAGTTTTCAGCCACAAAAAGAAATGAAGTACTTATGTGTCCTCCAACATGAATGAACTTTGAAAACCTCATGCTAAGTGAAGGAAGCCAGTCACAAAGGACAGCATTTTGTATGATTCCATTTATATAGACTATTCAGAGCAGGCAAGTCCAGAGACAGAAAGTAGATTAAAGGTTGCTCAGGGTGGAGGATAATGGAAGGATAGGGAATTAATGTGTTAAAAGGTTCAAGGTTTGTTTTTGAGGTGATGAAAATGTCCTAATAATTAGTCATAATGGTTTTGAATATATACTGAAAGTCATTTATTAGTGCACTTTAAGTGGGTGAATTGCATGGCATGTGAATTGTATTCAGTTGTGGAAACAAAACTTGAAAATAGTGGTTCTCAAATATTAGTGGATACTAGGTTATTTGGGTTTTTTGTGTGTAAGTTTTTTGAGTTCTTTATATATTCTGGAGATTAATGTGTTTGTTATCTGAGGTGTAGGTGGCAAAGATTTTCTCCCATTATGTAGGCTCGCTCTTCATATTTTTAATTGTTTCCTTTGCTGTGAATAATCTTTTTAGTTTGATGCCATCCCATTTATTGATTCTTGTTTTTACTTCCTGTACTTTAGGAGTCTTGTTGAGGAAATTGGTTCCTAAACCTACATGATAGAGAGTTGGGCCTATTTTTCTTTCTAGTAGGTGCAGAGTCTCTGGTCTAATTTCTAGGTCCTTGGTCTACTTTGAGTTGAGTTTTGTGCAGGGTGAGAGATAGGGATTAAATTCCATTCTGCTACATATGGATTTCCAGTTTTCCCAGCCCCATGGGAAGAAGCTATCATTTCTCCAATGCATGATTATGGCACCTTTGTCTAGTATGAGGTAACTATATTTATATGGATTTGTCTCTGTGTCTTCTATTCTGTTCCATTGGTTTTCATGTCTGTTTTGGTGCCAGTATTCACAATAGGTAAGCTATGGAACCAACCTAGGTTCCCCTGAACAGAGAAATGGATGAAGAAAATGTGGTGCATATATACACAATGGAATATTACTCAGCCATAAAAAGAATGACTTTTTGACTTCTGCTGGTAAATGAGTGGATCTAGAAACTATCATGCTAAGTGAAATAAGCCAATCCCCAAAAAACAAAGGCCAAATATTCTCTCTGATATGTGGATGCTAACACACACTGGGGGCAGGGGAGATAGAAGTTCAGTTTATGAAGGGAAGAGAGGGGAGATGGTAGGTAGTGTATTAATAAGTGAAAATTCCCTGTTGATTTCAGGGGAACACATAAATCAAGAAGGAAAGATTGCTGTTCCAGATTTCTCAGAGAGATGAGTAAAAACTGCTGAGGAAAACATTCCTCACCCTTAGATGTCCATTTCTGCCCTTCACTGGGGTATGCCTTGGATCTGTAAAAACAGCCACTGGTGGAAGTTCCTTCCAGGTGACAGTCCCATTCAGATTCTGAAAAGATATATTCCTGGGTCTCTTTTTCCTAGAGAAATACCATGTGGAATAACCAATGGTCATAAAAAAACCAGCACACTTCCCAAGTTGCTAATTTGTCCTTTGAGTTTTATGATTTTCCCTTCCACCCAAGTCAAACAAAAGCAACAATTAATAGAGTGCCAAGTACTCTTCTAAGTACCTGCTGTGAATTAACTCGTCCCTGCGACAAGCCTACCCAACAGGAAGTTGTTAATGTTATTATTGTATTTCACAGATAGTGAAACTGATGTAGAGATGAAGTAATTTGAAGTCCTAGCTGGTAAGAAGTGATCTGGGACTTAAATGCAAGCTGTAGGTCCATGGCCCACGCTCTTACCCCTCATGGTCCTGCCGCTCCTCATGGACACCACTGACTTTGCAACTGCCTCATAATTTGGACCAAATTTGAAAAGAGACAATGTGTGTGTTTTTTAAAAGAATTTTTTAAGTTGTCAGTGGACCTTTATTTTATTTATTTATATGAGGTGCTGAGAATCGAACACATGCTAGGCAAGCGCTCTACTGCTGAGCCAAACCCAGCCTGGCAATGTGTGTTTTTAGACCCTTTGTGTTTGTTTGAACCCTCTTTCATGCACTCACAGCAATACTGTCATTCTAAATGACATAATAGAATGGGGTGGGGGAGTGGGGAGAAAGAACAAAGGAAAAAAACAACAAAACACTTTTTTCTCCCCCCACTCCTCAGTGCATAGTAGTATCTTAAAGTCTTTTGCTTTCTCCAGAGGGAGCTGCCAGCCAGCTGGAATGATATAAAACCAGACAGCTGCCCGCACCTGATGTGGGAGCTGCGTGGTTTCCCAGGGTTTAGATGAGAATTACTGTGTCTTTCCCAGTGAGTAAAGGGAGCTGGCAGCCCTTGCTGTCTTCCCAACCACCAGACCATACCCCATAATTGTTAGAACTTCAAGTGGAGTTGGCTGTTGTTTGTAGTGTCATAGAACAGGACCAGGAATGCTTCCTGTCCTTCCTCCCCAGGGGTCCTTTCAGTGAGCTGAAGAGACCTTGGGCAGAGGACTGTGCACTGAAGCTGAACCGATTGTTCCTTTAAGGAAACCGCTCTTCCCCTCTTGATTAAATGAGTAAATTAGTTCCAGATCTTCTGCCAGAGTTGCACAGTTTAGGAAGGTGAAGGTGAAATATGAAATGGCTTAGGGAGGATACTGCTGTTGTAATGTTGATAGGAGAAAAGCTAGCAAGCTGTAAAAAATTAATAGTGCAATTGTTTTAGAAATGTATTCTTAAACTATTTAGGGTGCTAGGAGTGTAACTGAGTAATAGAATGCTTGCCTGGCATGCCAGAGGCCCTGGGTTCAATCCCTGGCACTGCAAAAACAAAAATATATTTTTTAGAAGTCATGAGGATTTGAGGGCTGGTAAAGCACAGGGTTTAGATTCAGAAGAGTTCCATGCTTTGTATAATGCTCTATCGCTGAAATTCTTAATTTTTAAACAGGGGGCTCTGCATTTTCACTTGCACTGGACTCTAAATTATGTAACAGTTCCTGACAGTGAGGTACATTTTAAGTCAGTATCATATAATTATGGTCGTTTCCTCCTCAATTTCAAGTGCAATAGTATATCCTGTCCAAGTATGCAAGTCACCTTGGAGCTACCTCCTCTATCCTCCCTTAATGCCTAGTAGGCTGGTGAATTGACTAATCTTTGTTGGAATGTTCCATGGTGAAAGTTTAATGCTGGTAAGTACTGAATAAGAAGGTTAAGCAGCAAATTTAAACATTATTGAAGACGACCTTCCCTTTTGGCAAGGGATGCCAGGATTTTGTACAGAATCTTCTCCCAAAAATGGAGAAACTATCATGGGGGAGAATCAGATGCTTCGGTCACATTGGACCCTCAGTGAGGACATGACCCTGTCCTTGTCACTTGTAACACATACTAGGGTAGACTCAGGAATTGGTCTACACTCTAGTTAACTCTGCAACCGCAACCCCAGTGAAGTTCTTCCTTCCTGTCTGCCAGGCTTATCTGTGTGATTTGGGGAGCGAGGCTTATGCTGACATAAGTTCATCGTTTTCAAAAAGCACTGGGGCCATTTTTTGGTCTTTTGTTTTGGCAGAGATTGTTACTCTAGCCAAATTATTGAGGTGAACCAAGGATAAACCCACAGCCTTCCTTATTTTCAGGCACTAGTATGGGAACTGATACTTAGGGAATATTCAGTTCCAGGAACACACTGTGATATTTCTTATAAAGTGGATGATAGGCATTTACCAGAAAGTGTTTTGGCCAAGGCATCTCAATTCACAGCAGACCCGTAGAGAAAACTGTGGGAGCTGTGACTTGCGCAGTAGGGAGATACAAGCCCTGGGGAGATTGCCAGTCATCCCGAAGGCTGCTCTATCAGGCCGACTGCATGGCAGGAAGTACTTGGAGCATAGACTAGGAGCTACTTTAGGCAAGTTTCACCATGTAAAAAAGGGGTGTGGAGAGACATGGGTGAGAGAGGAATGTTGAGGGTCCTGGAGGAGATGATAACTGGGAAGTTGAGGTGGGCAGTTCTGCCAGAGTGAGTCTGCCAATGCCACATGCTGGCTTCTGTCATAAGCAGGATAGGACTGGGAACATGCCAAGCTGCCCGTCAGAAGCCCAAGTTATAACTTAAATGGAGCCCTGTTAGTAGCAGAGGTGGCTCAGTATAGAGGCCAACAGGCATAGTCAGGGCTCTTGAAATCTTTGGAATCTAAAGATTAGAATTAATTCTAGGGACTGAGACAAAGTAGTCTTCAAGTGAGGGTGAACAGTGGCCCCCTGAGAATGAAGAAGGAACACAGTCACTGGGGACTGTCAGCCCTGCCAGAGGGGGGCATCACCTTTCAGGGACACTGTTGGATTTGTTTTTAGCAATTCTGGCAGACACAAACATTTCTACTTCTATTTTATACCTGAGGAACCAGAAGCAAACAAGTCTCCAAAGCTATTGGACTCATTGGGCATCTGGGGCTCCTTCCAACACTGCCTCTCTGGGCCGTTGGCCTACAGTAGGTAACTTGATGAAGTTCCTCTGCTGATGGTGGTAGCAGAGCAGTGGGAAATAGGGGCTCTGGAGGGAGAATGCCTGGGTTTTTATCTTATTTCAGCTCCATCCACCTCTTCTTTGTCACTTTGGGCAGTTTGCTTGGCCTCTGGGTACTAATAGAAAAATGAAGATATGATGATACTGTCCTCACCTTGTAGCTATGAGGACTTGATGGGCTGGTAAAGCACGGGGTTTAGATTAGCGCCTGGTACAGAAATGTTTGATGACCATTGACCTCTACATTGCACCCAGAAATCAAGTTCTTTAGGGAAGATTTCAGATTATATCAATGGTCACTACCTAGTAGCTAGATGGATCTGTGGCAGGGCTGATGATCCTGAAGAGTGAATTCTAGGAAAATCATTTCTACTTATCTGTCCTTGGAAATCTTTAAAAATCAATATTTTAAAAAAATAATTAGATCTACCTGTAAAAACAGCAAATTTTCATGAGATTGCCAAATTTAGAGCCAGAAACTTGAAGGTTGTGTCCCTGTCTCAACTTTGCGGGTTGGAGTAAATTTTTCCCATGTTTCTCCCTCACTGTCCTCATCTATAAAACTGTTCACAGTGGGGACAACAGCCCAGCACACAGACTCAGAGCAGACACCAGAGCAAAAGCACTTTTAAATAAAAAGAGGTGTTGGATATTTTTATTCCTTGGACACTGTTATGGTTTGGGGGTGAGGTGTCCCCCAAAAGCTCACATGTGAGACAATGCAAGAAGGTTCAGAGCGCCTTAACCCAATCAGTGATGAATCCCCTGGTAGGGATTAACTGAGTGGCAACTGCAGTGCTAGGATGTGGCTGGAGGAGGTGGGAATTAGGGCGTGGCTTTGGGGTATATATTTGTATCTGATAAGTGGAGACCTCTCTGCTTCCTGATCACCATGTGAGTTGCTTCCCTTTGCCACACTCATCCACCATGATATTCCTTACCTTGAGCCCCGAGGAATGGAGCCAGCCTTCTATGGAATAAGACCTCTGAAACTGTGAGCGCTCAAATAAACTTTTCCTCCTCTAAAATTGTTCTGGTCGGGTCCTTCAATCACAGCAGTAAAAAAACTGACTAAAACAGACAAAAACTTACTGAAAGTAGGAAACTTGTCTACAGGGTAGGCAGTATGGAATTTAAACCTGAGATAAAGGTGATTCACCCTTGATCTCAGTATTAATAATTTAGTTAGGTATTGACGGGTGCCACACAACAGCTGAATAAACATTCAATTCCAAGGACTCTGTCTCTCTCTCTCTCTCTCTCTCTCTCTCTCTCTCTCTCTCTCTGCTTCCTTCTCTGCCATTCTTTCTACAGCAGCCAGATTGTACCATTGTTTGTTTCCTCTCTGCCCACACAGCAGACTCCGATCCTGCCCCAGTGAACCCTTGCCATGACGGGAGCCACGCCTGTGACACAGCAGCACGGTGCCATCCAGGGACAGGTGTAGACTACACCTGTGAGTGTGCGCCTGGGTACCAGGGAGATGGCCGGAGCTGTGTGGGTAAGAGCCATGTTCTGTTGGTGTCACATAGCTCCTGTTTTCACTCTGCCCTCTCCAGCGGTGTTACTGTGGAAGACAAGTATCTCTGATCTTTGTGATCTGTGATCACATCGATTCCACATCTGCAATTTCCATCGATCAATGACTTTAGCAGCTGTTAATTTGGATGCAGTTATGTAAAAACTGAAGCATAGTCTAGTCAGGTTTGAAAATAGAGATGGTGATTTTGTGCTGGGTCTATAAAAAGAAACCATCTTTTGCAATTTTTGGATATGTTTTAAGCTTTGTAATTTTGAGCATATATTAAGTAGTTCCTAAATTTACTAGAAAGCATATTTTCTGGTTTCTTTACATTTCAGACAGTGTTTCCTTCACCAATTATATCCCAGCAAAGCAACAGTTGATGTTTCTTCATCTCTAAAAAAAAAGCTACAACATATTTTCTTATAAACATTATCTTTAAACATTTAAAGAATTCTGAGAAAAGTTGTTCAAAAATTATCTCTCTGTGACCTCACTGGAAAGATGTGAGATAAAGTTTTATTTCTGATGAGCTTCATCTTGCATTCATTCCTACCTGTCACTTAGATATCCTATGTTTCGATTCCTGTTTAGCCTACCACCCTAGTCCCATTGAAGCATCATAGTGGTGAGAAAACTGACTCTTCAGACTTTCCACTCATGGGACTGGAAAGCAGCACTTTTCTTCTCTCTTTCTTCTCAGATGTAAATGAATGTGCAACTGGCTTCCATCGCTGTGGCCCCAACTCAGTGTGTATCAATTTGCCAGGAAGCTACAGGTGCGAATGTCGCAGTGGCTATGAGTTTGCAGATGACCAGCACACTTGCATCCGTGAGTACCAGAATCATTTATCTGTTTGGCCAAAATGGCACTGAATCTTGCTCTTTAATTCACTGAGTTTCTCCACTTGTGCTTTATAGAAGTTCTGCTATGTGATTTTTCTTGAAACACAGTGCATATTGAAATAACCCAAGGCTACAGCTCAGTGGAGCTGTTTGTTTGTGGTTGTGGTTTTCCCCTAACTAGATATTTTTGATGTTGAACTACTGGGGGATGTTCTTTCAGTTGGGGTTCCTGGTCCACCACTTAACAAGACTATGGACCTCTTTAGAAGAACACCCCAGCTATAGACAGAGCGTATGTAGTCCTCATCTTAGAACAAGGTAGATTTGTAATTCCAAGGTGCTGGTGTCATGTGAGGAGCTAAAGGGCCTCGTCCATAATGAACCCTTCTAGGATTCCAAACCATAACTTAGACCTAAAAATGGGTCCAAAAGAACTAGAAATCCGAATTCATTGCACTGATAGAGCTAGGTAATGGAGAAAATACAAGCTTTAATCCAGTGTGATATTAGAAAGTGTGTGTGTGTGTGTGTGTGTGTGTGTGTGTGTGTGTGTGATGGCTATTATTTTCACCACAAACCCATACCAGCACTTCTCAAACCTTAACGTGTATATGACCCTTCTAGGAAAGTTTCTAATATTGAGATTGACTCTCCAGCTCTGGGATGGGGCCTGAGAACCTGCATGTCTTGCAAGCTCTGGGTGTGCTGATGCTATTGGTCTGTGGATGATGCTGTGGGGAGTAAGGGTCACCATTCAAGTTCGTGGACACCTTTGCCTTCTCTTTTTAGTGATTGCTCCTCCTCCCAACCCTTGCGAGGATGGTAGTCACACCTGTGCTCCTGCTGGGCAGGCACGATGCATTCACCATGGAGGCCGCACATTCAGCTGCACCTGTCTACCAGGTTATGCTGGCAATGGGCATCAGTGTTCCGGTGAGTACCAGCGGGGAAGCCTCAGAGACTCTGGACGGTCACCTTGGATGCACATCCCTGCAAAGACAGGTCCTCCCTGAGAAGGACATTTTTCCTCTTTGACTCAAATGGCCTTGGAATTGCCAAAAGAGAAGAGACACCCTTAGAGTAAGGAAGGGAGGGCACAGGGGTTTCCATGGGACTAGATTGCTGAGCAGTGTGGTTGTCCTTGGAGGCGTGTCCTTGGAGTATGATGAGCCACTGTCAGCTTGTTACCTTCCATTCCTGGGAGCTAGTATAGGCTGGAGAAACTTACACAGACAATTCTCTCTCTGATTTTTTTTTCTCCTTTTCTTGTCCCTGCCTCACCAAACATCTGGGGAGGAGGAAGGAGGCCTCTGCTGTTTAGATCTACTAGGAAGTTCCCAAGAGGTGCAAGGCTGTTCAGTGGGTCCAGGTGCTTGTGGCTGAGGCAAACAGCAATTCAAAGAAAGGAGGGGAAAGCTTGCCTTTTGCATTTCCATTCCCAAAACAGGTCCTTTCCAATTCCAAATAACTATATGTTATTGACATGAAACTACCTTCAATTTGATCATATATCTTGGGGTCCATTTGGAAAACCTGTAGTAGTTTAAGTAGCTTTGCTGAATAACCTCTACACTAAAATATTACTAATTTCATGAATATTATACTGAGAGTATGTCTAGTCTTTAACAACCTCATATTATGTCTGACAAATTTAAATTTGATTATCCCTGTATTCCAGTTTAATGGTTTTATTAAATATTGTATGGTTTCCTCAAGATAAATTTTAAGAGAAAAGTGTTAATAAATAAGGTATGTATTAATGTCTTTTTATACCTGTAGAGCTCCTTCTTCTCTCCCTGCCTCTACTGTCATGTGTATACTCTTCACAGATGGAAGATACCTTCAAATCATGAGGATCAGGGGGGGTATATAAACCTGACAGTGGGATAACGTTTTTTTCCATCCCTATGGAACTTATTCATTTCTGTTTAACCCACTGTTGGCTTAAAAAACAATAATGTGCATTCCTGCCTGTAGAATTTCATATTTAAACATCTGACTGCTCAGATTGGCAGATGTCACTCTTTAGTCTAAAGCAAAATAGCTGAAATTAATTTCAGCCTAGGTGTGATGGTATTAATAATCAAAATATTAGGTTAGGTGCTTCTTGCTTTAATCCCTTCTGCAATCATTTTCTCTCTTTCCTGTTCATGTCTACTTCTCCTGTGAGAGTTTGGTTACCTTCTGGGATCATATTAGGACCCATATTAGTAAAGTTGGCTACTTGTCTGTATTTGGAGTTTCCGAGTATGGCCTCCTGGGCTATTATTGCCCTCTTTCTTATTTTCATCATTTGCGATCGTCCCTATTTTATCTCGGGTCCTTTACTTTTGGGATTCTCTCCGGAGCACACAAACTTGAAAATGTGCCAAACCTATCACTTACTTCCCCAATGTATTAATTTCAATTGCTTCACAACAAATGACCCCCAAATGTAGCAGCTTAAAACAAGATGCCTTTGTCACCTGTGGCTTGGGGACCTGGGCATGGCTTAGCAGTACGCTGCTTTAGGATCTCTGAAAGAAACAGTTAAGGGGCAAGAATGGTGGGATCACCGCAGGCTTTTCTGGGGAAGACCGCAAGACTGCTGTGCCGAGGGCCTCAGTTCCTTGCTGACTATGGCTGGTCTTCAGTTTCTTGCCAGGTGGCCTCTCCATTATGACAGCTTACTTTATAAAAGCTAGTGAGAGGACAAAGCCATGGAAGTCATCATCTCAAAGAAGCCATCCCCTCAATGGTGCTTTACTGTGCTGGCTACAAGCATGTTACTCAAGGAGAGGGGATTATAGGAGAATCATGCATACCACATGGTAGGGATCATTGGGGACCATTTTAAAGGCTCCCTACCACAGCCAGAACTGTACGGTAGCCTTCCAAACTTTTGGATTGTGGGGTAGTAGAGAATGAATAGTCATTTTCCTAAAGATCTTGCATAAATTAGGCTGCACTAATCATGAAAGTAACTTTTCTACTTGCAGGATAGACCTATGAGCATGTTAGTGTATAGTGTATGTGTGTTTGTGTTTAAAGGCATTCCATAGTGTGCACATGTCTGAGTGACCAAAGGATCTTTTAATCAATTATTTATTTAATTAATCATTAATTTATTTTATGTGTGTGCTGGGGATGTAATTCAGATCCTTGTGCATGCTATGCAAGTGCTCTACCACTGAGCCACATCTCCAGTCCTCCTTCTATAGATCTTTGATGGAGGCTGTCTTGTGGGAGGCATGCATTCTTGAGGCACACATATTTTTACTCCATCAAACTAACCATAAGAGGGTGAGTGGGTTTTTCTCTAGCCACAGTTTGTTAAAAACCAGGCTCTCTGGAGAAGCTGCATTTGAATTTGGGTTACCAATCTGGTCTAAGTCACTAGCAGGAGGTTTTTATCCAGAATTAAGTCTGTTCCAGGCTTCTCTCTATCTGGTGTGATTTCAACCCTGCCTTAGTGTGAGCTGGATATTTCTCAGGCACCTTTGCCCTTGTGGATTTTAGTGCCTTTGCCAGTGCAAGAGCAGATTGTCAGGAGTTAGAACTTTCCCAGGGAGAAGCAAGGCAGCTGGGTTACACATGGTCTGTTCCATAGCATGACCCTCGCTCAGGGAGGGAGGTGGGGGCTTGGTACTGCTATTACTTCAGATTTTCTGTGCTCCAATTATAGATATTGGATAAAGCATGGTAAAGTCAATGCAGCCACAGGAGGTAAGGACGAGGCTTGAAAGGGTGATGATTAACTCACAGATCTTAAAAAGGGGTCACCATGTGCCACATGGGTGCAACCCACTGGGCACTCAACAAGTGAGGAGCAGAGAGAAGGCAACTGAGGTGCTGGGAGGGATCAAGGTTAATTGACATCAGGGGATTACATTGAGCTGGAAAATGAATGGGTGGTGAGGAACTGGGACTCAGTACATGGATTGTTATCCAGGGGTTCCAGCTGAATTTGCTCTGAATTGGGGCCAAGAAGGATGTCAAGGCACCAAAATGAGTCCAAAATAGAGTGTTTTTAAAACATTTTCCAAATAGGTTCCCTAGGAGCTTAATAGATCACAGAGTAGAAAATTGTGCTAGAAATGGGCTGCCTTTCATTACCTTCGTGGTAAAGGGGTTTTGCTGTATAAGAACACTATTGAATTGACTAGTCTGTTTCTATCAGTCCCTGCAGATCCCTGCCACTGATGAGGTATAATTGGTGTCTCCCTGTTCCCCTGGTGGTACAGTGAAGAAAGCTCCTACTTTGCCAAGAGGCTGAAAGTCCTTCCTCATTTTCTGTCTTGACACATGACATCCTATGAAATGGGGAAGAGTTCTCCTCCTTTGTACATTGGTTCAGGCTCCCCACAAACCTCTCCGTGTTTGAGCTCCTGAGGAGAGGCTGCAGCCAGCTCTGAGTTCAGGCCCCGGACTAACTGATTTGGATCTAGTTTCACATCATGACATGAGGCCCTCTAAGAAGGGTCAGGGACTGTGATTCAGGGGACCTTAACCTCCTCCAGCTTTGTGGGCTCAGGGGTTGCTCATGTGGGATGCCTTCTGTCTCTTCGGGGACTTTCTCCTTCTCATTGGTCATTTGCAGCAGTTACTATCTATCTGTAACGATGGTATCCATGATAATGGCAAGGGACCTGTAGAGAGTAAAATTGGTCTTTCAGATTAGGTCAGAATTCCTAGGCCATGGATGCTAATCTTGTTGGTGGTTTGAGAGCTTTGGGGAATCCCCTTAGTTCAAAAATAATAATTAAAAAAAAAACCTCACCTCGGGCTTCAGAAATAGGTCATGTGTCTCAGGAATTCCTGCTTCCTGCCATTGCTTGTGGTTCCTGTTACCATTAGAGGTACTTTTAGCATATGTGCTGCCAGGAGCTTCAGTTTCCTGCATTTGCCTGAATGCTGATTTTTACAGCTTTGGTTTTACAGCCTCTTACAAGCCCAAAGAGCTGGATGGTCACCAGCTTCACTCAACTGAGCATTTGAGCTGTCCTTTTAAGGAGACAGCCAACCACAAGGATAATTAAATATGACAATTTGGGAGCTAACCAGAACACCTTGTCATTTCTAACTTTAGACATGAATTTAGAATCACTTTACTGTTGTAGGTGGAGAAAAGGTAACCAGTGCAGCCAGCTGCTCCCCATGGAGAGCCTTTGTGGCTGTATTAGAGTGGATGGTGTTGAGAATTTGGTTTGTTTGTTTACTCAAAGGAACTGATATATGTTGATTAAACTTCCCAGAGGCAGAGGATGAGCAGATGCTGATTTTCTAATTATAATATGAGAGATCCCTCTCCAATAATCTGAGTGCCTATGGTTAATGTCCAGTGTGTCCACATAGTGTTGCCTGAGAAAGCACTTAGTTATGGGAAGGCGACTCGGTGACAGTGTGGTCAAGCAAGGTGGTGGAGATAACTCTAGAAGACATCTCATTTGGATCGTGGGAGGCTGAGTGAGGAACTGTTCTGTTCCCAGCCTGTTCACATCAAGTTCCAGGTTGTAAATCTCCAGCTTCCCAGGCGGGTGTGGCTCTGTCATGGGCTGTATCAAGAGGATGCACTTCACTCTTGTCTAGTTTTCATGCTGAGCATCCCATTATACTTTTTTTATGTTCACACATTAAAAAAAAAATTCTGGTCATTATTGTGGATGTGACTAATGCTTTGTTTCAGTCGAGCCAAATTGAGTCTGAACCTTTTGTTTAGGCTCCTTTTATTCTGGAAGACTTCCATCCTCTTGAGGGAGGTTACCTCATCCACAAAGCCTTAGTTTTAATAGTTCCCCCCTCAGCCTGTGTGTGGGTGGGGCCAGGGTAAGATGAATGACTTGCGGTTGTCAGCATGTGCCCATTTCAATAAATGAATTAATAATGGATATGAATTGGCTTTTGTTTGAAGTGTCAAGATTTTGCAGTTCTGCAATATATGAAAATCCTTAGGGTACCAGGTGGGAGTGTAGATTACTGAATTATCTATACCCATATGTCCAACAAGTTTAGGTTTTCATTCATATATATAATATATATTATATATATTATATATGTATATGATACATATCATTTTAAAACTGCTGATGATATTTGCTTATATTTTTCTTTCTTATTTTTTCATTTTCTATAAGAGGAAAATAAAGGAAATTTCTGGTTAATTGGCGGTTCTTATCTAGCAGGACTTTGTGCTTCTAACATAGAAGTATTTGGAGCTCATCTGGCTCTTCTGCATCTCTCTGAATATTCTAGGGAGATGGTGCCAACAATGAAAGAAAAAAAATACCATTGTTCCTATATTTATCTTCCTTGTAGTGTTACTAAAAGGAAATTGATGATTTATAGTCTAAAGGTTAGTTCAAAGGTAATAACTTCCTGGAATTCACTGTAGATGAAAGATGCTCTAGAAATATACTGCAGAATATTTTTATCTGAGCAACCACATGTTTGATTCATATACTGAATGTTCTTATCTCATATGTTAACTTACACATTTCTAGATGTTTTTTCATTAAATTAACCTTTAGGCATTAACATTTTTCTGGTCATGTCCAGAGGTCTTCTTAAGTTGGAATTTGTTGTTCCACGTGTCCTGAGCCCATGTAGATGCACAGGTTGTGTGCCATGAAGTCATGCTCTTCCTTCCTTCTCTCTCTGCCTGGTTCCTGACCTCTGCAGATGTTGATGAATGTACAGAGAACAGATGTCACCCTGCAGCTACTTGCTACAATACCCCTGGCTCCTTCTCCTGCCGTTGCCAACCTGGATATCAGGGGGATGGATTTCAGTGCACACCTGGTAAGGTTTGGAGGCACATAAATCTCACTGCTTCTTCAATGATGTCTTTCTCTGAATCTTGGTCCACTCTTTATTTAGCCTAGTCTTGGTCCACTCTTTATTTAGCCTGGTCTGGGATATTAGGGGGTGGATTATTTCTTCAGTTATCTCCTGCTGACTGCTTTCCTGATGGCTCACTGGCTATTACATTCATGGAGACCTAGAGTTTGTCCCATCCCTCATCCTGCCTAGTAGCTGCTCTGATTAACTGCCCTAGTGAGCCATTTGCTTTGATGAATGTGATTTAGATGAGATGTTGAAAAGTTTATTAAATAGGACTCATGAGCCAGGAGTGAACACCCAAGGGTGTGACTGTCACTGACCTGGGGCTTCTCAGATTTAAACTCTGGGGCTCAAGGGATAAATGGAATTTGACTTGTTCTCTCCAAAGTCTTCTGGGATATTTGGGTGGATGCCATGAATGGCTCTTCATTTTATCCAGACAGCAGTAGGCCCTTGAAGGCTGAGGAAAGGGCTTCTGTCCACTTAACAGTCATCTAGGAACTTAGAGAGTAAATTGAGAGATAAGGTAACAAACTAGCTAAATAGTGGCAGAACATAAATGAGAATTCAGGACTCTAAGATGCCAGTGCCTTTTTCTTCTTTTCACATGATATATTGTCTTCCAATTGTAGAAAAAATAGCACAGGAGGCTTTGATCTTAGCTGGTTAAAGTCGATGGGTTGCTCTACTTGTTATTTCTCCTTTGTGTCTCTCTTTGCCCTGGTTCCGGAAGACTCCACCTCTGGACTGAAGCCCTGCGAACACCAGCAGCGCTATGCCCAGGCACAGCATGCCTACCCTGGGTCCCGGCTCCACATCCCCCAGTGTGACGAGCAGGGCAACTTCCTGCCCCTGCAGTGTCATGGCAGCACTGGCTTCTGCTGGTGTGTGGATCCTAATGGCCGCGAAGTCCCTGGCACCCAGACTCCGCCTGGCTCCACCCCACCTCATTGTGGGCCACCACCAGGTGAGCCCACTAGGAAAGAAAGCTGGAACAGCTTGGTCTGAGGCTCAAGAAGCAGAAGGAGGCTGTGGACTGTAAGCCCTGCCCAGGTCATGGAAACATGGGGATGTCTGGCCACCGTCCTTTGATAGCCTCTTCCCTCTGTGGAACACTTAGATAATATGTGTACTCATATGTGCATGTTTATTATAGGGACATATATACATGTGACATGTGACATATGGGATCTGTTACACACTGAGCTCCAGCCCCTTAGATCCTTTTTGAGTGCCAGGCTGGAAGTTCAGATTATCTAGGTCAGGCTGAGGTCACACTAAGATCTTATAGAGCTAGAGGACCTTGACAGTCTAGAGTTTGTCCAGAAGGAAAACTCCCTTCCTATGTAACTCTTACTTAACTCTGCCTTCTGAATTGCAGGATGCAGCCTTGAAGCCCTGTTTATGTGGTTAGGAAATATAAGTAGGAAACTTATGGGTAGATCAGTTAGTTTTCTCTAACTGAGTGACCCCAGCCCTCTCCAGTCTATCCAGCATGTTGACAGGGAATCCCTCTTGCCTAGGCCACCTTTGTAAGAGGCACAGGAATCTGTTTTTGTTCAGAAGATGAGGGACACTGATGGCGAACATGCCTGTTGTTCTGGCCGTCAGGTTAGGGCATAGTTAGCGAGTGTCCACAGTTGATGGCAATAGCAGGCAGCTAAGGCATCTTGCTGTTACTAGCTGAGTTGTGTGAAGCTTTTTTTTTTTTTTTTTCCTCTCTTTATTTTGGAAGAACTGATATAAAGATCACAGGATGTGTTTGCCTTGATGAATTATGGCCAAAATGATTCCTATAGCCACAAGCTTGCTAGTCAAGATCGATTTTTATTATTGAGAAAGGTTCCAAAAGTATTCATCTTGGATTTTAATGAGTAAATAGAGAATCTTAATTGTTATGGCCAGGACTTCAGTGCTTCTGAGAATCATGTGGGTGAAAATTGGTAGTGGTTTGATACATAGCAAAATTCCCAATTTATCTCTGTCCCTATTTTTAGGAAAAAATTCTGCATATTCAAAAGAGTGCAGAGCCGGGTACGGTGGCACATGCCTATAATCTCAGCAGCTTGGGAGGCTGAGGTAGGAGGATCACAAGTTCAAAGCCAACCTCAGCAAAAGCAAGACATAAGAAATTCAGTGAGACCCTGTCTCTAAATAAAACACAAAATATGGCTAGGGATGTGGCTAAGTGGTTGAGTGCCCCTGAGTTTAATCCCTGGTACTGCCTTCCTTCCCGCACCCCCCCCCCCGCCCCCCAAAAAAGAATGCCAAGAAATCCTGTTTCACTTATGGCTTCTCTTTAGAAAATCTAGGTTCCACTCCAGCTGGGAGGTGCCTTAGGGGACTGGTTCAGAGTTCTATTAAGTTTATTAAGACAAGCATGTGTTAAGGACAATGATTCAGACTGAGAAGTTAATGACTAAAATAGGGACACATTCCTTTGTGCAGACTTTCTCATGGTCCAGACTTCTCTCTTGGCACTGGTTTGGCCTTGGCTGCCATTTCTAACTAATCTCATCTGCATAATGGGGTCAGCTGTAGGGGAATGAGGATGTTCTGTGCCCAAGATTTTAGGATATTTAAGCCCCTGCCAAGCAGAAGAGGAAAAAAGAAATCTATGATTGGATTGAGAAGTAGCTTCAAAGAGTAAGGAATGAGGGATGCCCACATTATGAGTGGTTTGAGATCCACTCCCCAGAAACTGACTCTGCCCTGTGTCTGCATTTCCAAACCAAGAGATGTGCCTTGGGTGGTCTCTTGAACAAAGAATGCATCCTCCAATTCAGAATATGGAGCAGGGTGGTGTTGGGAGCTTCCTCACGGTGTCCCACCCTGAAGTGGATGACAGGTATGTGGGGAGGTAGCCTTCTGTTTCCTGGTTCCTGGAGCTGTACTGGAGTGGGAAAGTCAAGTCCTGCTTCTCCATGAGGTCTCAAAGCTTTGCTTCCTGTGGGTCAGGAGTTGTAGTTGAAACCGAAGGGTCTCCTCTTCCCCTAGACTGGGTGAGCCTTGCAGTGGACCTAGTTGAGTTTGAACACGGAAGATTTGATTCACCATCTTCCTGCTTCCCAGAGAAATTGTCCCTGCTGCAGCTGTATTTCATGTTTCCAATTTTGTTCTTCGAAGTCATTAGAGGGTTTTGAGCAAAGGAGTTGCAGGAAATGCCTTGTTTTAAATGAACCATTTTGTCTGATGGTTGAGTTTACTCTGGTTTAGAGGGAGGGAAGGCCCAGGAGTTTGGAAGCAGGAAAACCAGTGCAGATGTACAAGTAATCCCAGTGGGAGACGATGGTGCCTTGAGCACAGCGATGGGGTGGAAGTGGTGAGAAGTGAGATGTTCAGAATGTCTTTGAACTTGTATTTGACATATCAGATATGAAAAGCAGAAGAAAGGAGTCAAGAATGAATTTGCCTGAGAAATGGGGAAAGTAGAGGGCTATTTACTGATATTGAAGAGACTAGAGAAGAGCAAGCTTAATGGGGAAAGCTGAGGACCAGGTTCTGTTAGTTTCTGAGATTTCTATTATGCATCCAAATGGTGGCAGCAAGTAGATACTTGGTTGTGTGATTCTGCAGACTGCAAGCTTTGAGTTACAGGAATTAAAAAGGAAGGAGAAGCATCTCCTCTTATTTAAGTCTTCTAGGTAAATTTTATCATAAATGAACATGTTAATTCAACGACCCATAGCAGTCTTTTCAGACAGAAGCACCCATGTTTGGGAAGTCGTCCATAGCCCTGTGACAGCAATCCAGGAGGGGACAGCTTTGTAGATGAAGTCAGTAAGGCTTCAGTCACTGTGTGGGCTGGGAAGGAAGGGATAGGAGGGGAGAATGCTGAAGAAAAGAGTAGCAATGTGGCAGAAAGTTAGAACCTGCAGAAAAAAGTTCAGCTTTGACAGTCCCAGGAGTAGAGTGGCTGAAGTACTTCTAGAAACCAGCTAAGAGTTTTAAGTTCCTTTCTACCACCTCTACCATGCTGTGCACACTAATTACAGTAAGTCTTACTTTTCCTCAGTGTAGTTTTACATTTTAAGGCCATGTAGCAGAGCCAGGCTTTTAGCAATGACTCTGAGACACAGGCCAGGTTCAGGATGGCCTTCTCAGCAACAGGTCCTGGAGCTTGAAGCAAGGGGGAAACAATTGGTTTTTAAGCATCACATAGGCCACTGAGTCCCCAAAGTCTGCACAAGTGCTCTGTCAACACAGGTCTCCTTTGGTGCAAGCAGTTGTTCACATGGCTTCTGCTGGCCTGAGCAAGATCATCCTCCTCCCAAGGCAAAGCAAACTCTGCCCTGTGGATCTTACCTCCTCTCATTCTTTCCTCATGTGGCGGGGGTTGGATGGCAGATTCTCCTGGCCTGGAGAGACAGGAGCATCAAAAGGATCTCTTGTGATTCCCATAGAGAACTTCTTATAACACATTTGCTTCCCTGGCTCAATATCTAGGGGTTTGTGACCTCATTACTGGACAGTAGGAGGAAGGCCAAGAGGTCATGTGGGGGGACCTTGTGCTACATGCCACACTGTTTTGGGATGGCAATCAAAGACTCTTTGTTTCCTCATCTGCTCAGAGCCCACCCAGAGGCCTCGCACCATCTGTGAGCGCTGGAGGGAAAACCTTCTGGAGCATTATGGCGGCACGCCCAGAGATGACCAGTATGTGCCCCAGTGCGATGACCTAGGCCACTTCACCGCCCTGCAGTGCCACGGGAAGAGCGACTTCTGCTGGTGTGTGGACAAAGATGGCAGAGAGGTGCAGGGGACTCGCTCACAACCAGGCATCATCCCTGCATGTAAGCACTGAGGACAGTCCAAACTCCCCTCAGCAGCACTGAGGTCCTTCTGCAGGGCTGCTGTCTGCTGTGGGTGATGGGGTCTGGCCAAAGAAGTCACTTCATCAATATACTGTGTTGATTTATAAACTGGTCCCCCTAATAGCTCAATTTGGATTTAATGTTGGTCTTGTCACTAGTGGTTAGGACAGTATTTGGAACAGCTGGAACTCCATTCAACATGTTATTTCTCCTGCTCCCCAGTCCAGGGTGAAAGGGCAACATCCCCTGGGGACCCAAAGAGGTTTCTTCCTTTCAAAAACAAAAACCCCTCTGCTTTGTTCTGAGGGAAGCATTTTGGTGCCTCCTTTCTTAGTAATTGGCATGATTTACATAATTGATCCTTGAAAAAACCCTAGAAATTAGAATTTCTTTTGAAGAACATCTGGAGCACATCTGTCTAGGGTGAAGAAATTTTGATATTTTTGGATGTTCTGGGATGTGAGAAAGTAACTTTTCTTCCTCCCCACCCACCTGTTTCCTCTCTTCCCCCTCCCCACCCTCCCACTCTTTCCCATGGCCAGGTATACCCACGGTTGCTCCACCCACCGTCCGGCCCACGCCACGGCCTGATGTGACCCCGCCATCAGTGGGCACTTTCCTGCTCTATGCCCAGGGCCAGCAGATCGGCCACTTGCCCCTCAATGGCACCAGTCTTCAAAAGGACACCGCAAAGACCCTACTGTCACTGCATGTAAAGTGGAGTTCTCAGGCAGGGTGGGGCTGCAGGGCTTTCTGGAGGCCCTCTGTGGATTAAGCCAAGGACATCGGGTCAGGAAATCCCTGAGGGCTTTTGCAATTTTCATGGGTCCAGTGCCACCACCACAGAAGTGGGGCTCTGTTGCTGGGAGTCACATCTGACTGACCACAGCTACGCTCTCCTGTGGGCTCACGGGGTTTCAGATATATGGAAAGGGAGTTTCAGACCTGTCAGGATGTGGAGGCTGTGTGGTGATCCTAGGGAAAAGTGACAGAATCTCAACTGGAGTCTCCAGGTCACAGACATTTCCACACAGGTCCTGGAAGCCAAAGGACAGGAGGTGGTAGCTCAAGGGTGGCTTCTGTGGTCAGTTAAGAAAAACAAGTAGAAATGAGCTAAGCACTGCATCACTGTCACGGCCCTCCCTGCCCATTTTGGTTGTCCCTTGACTCACCTCTTTCCTAACTGTCTCAGACTCCATCTTAATGAAGATCTGGGGAGTGTGCACTGCCAGCAAAGGAGTGAGTGGAGCTTTCCCTCTTGGGGGCTTGCCTCTTCCTGAACCAACAGCTTCCCTATTACCAAGACAGCCCGATTTGGAAGGAGGGATTTTTTTTTTTTTTTTTAATCTAAAATGGGGAATAAAAAAGGAGGCTCTGCAAAAAAGGCATTGACATGTACAATGGAAATATTCTATTTCTAAACTGCCCACCATGAGAAAGAATAGTTTAGGGTTCATGTTTATATTTACTTCTATTAGTGAACTACTAATTGGTGGCAAAGAAGCTTCAAAGCAGTCAGTTATCAGAAAAAGATGTTTTCTCTACCTTTTTAAGGTTTGAGAATGTTTTCCCCATGAACTCTAGCATACTGTTTTGTAAGCTTCTTCAGAAGAGGCAGAAGCTAAGAACTTGCCATTGTGTCAAGCTAACATCATTTATTCTAATCACTGTCAGATGCTTGTGTATTTCTGAACATGCCCCTGGCAGGACAGGATGGTGATGGAACAGGAAAAGATGGACATGTGTCGCAAGCACACCTTAGGGAAATTTGCTTCAACTGGGACATTTTCCCCAAGAAACTTATTTTATGAATTCCATGATTCCCTGGGCTAATGAAGTCCGTATGAATGTGCATATTGCCTGGGACAGATGGCTTTTTAATTTTAATTTTCCAGTGAAAGTAACATTCTTAGACTCCCCCTATATAAACTGCCCGCTTTTGTTGTTGTTGTTGTTTTTGTTTTTTGGTTTTTTTTTTTGGTACTGGGGATTGGACTCAGGGGCACTCAAGCACTGAGCCACATCCCCAGCCCTATTTTGTATTTTTTTAAAGACAGGGTCTCACTGAGTTGCTTTGCACCTCAGGCTGGCTTTGAACTTGTGATCCTCCTGTCCCAGCCTCCTGAGCCACTGGGATTACAGGCGTGCACCACCACGCCCGGCAAGCTGCCAACTTTTTCGAGCCAAATCCTGCATTGTACAGTCTCTGGCAGTGGCTGCTATCTTAGAGGCATAAGTCAAGCCAACCCCCAGGAGGCTTTCTTGGGCAAGAAAGGACCTGGTGTGATCTCCGGGATAGTTAGATGGCCTCTGATGTTACTTTGTACTTCTGCTGGGGTTCTTAGCAGGAGGTGGAGTTGGAAACTGAAGCAAGTCCTATGTGTAGTTGAGGAAAGGAATATCACAACCCTGACATTTTAAAATAAAAGATGTTGTTGTTATTTAGTAGAAAGGAATGAGGGGAGGCCTCACTAGCCAAAGATTGGAAGATCGAAATTCCCCAATTCCTAAACCCATTAAGTTAGACTTTTTATATAGTACAACTGAAGATTTGCTTTGTATTAAAGATTAGGAGCAGAGTACAGCTGATTGCATCTCAAGTAGGGGAAAGACCTCCCTCAGCCTATGTACAGGGGTGGGGACGATAGATTTTGTTGGCATATATTGGCAAATTTTAGAAAGGCTCTTTCAAAAGTGGTAACATCTAAAGGGATTATTTTGCTCCAGTAAGTGTTAAGGCCTTTGCTTAGACTGTCTTCTACTTACTGACAGGGCTGGGTTTCCCAAGCAAATTATTTTATTTTTACCAGCAGTGGTAACACCATTTCTTGAGGGGCTTATTGTATACCAGTTTCTGATTAGGATACTTTATAAGAATTTATGGTATTTAAAATTTTTTTTTAGTTGTAAATGGACACAATACCTTTTATTTAATTTATTTTTATGCAGTGCTGAGGATCAAACCCAGTGTCTCACACATGATAGGCAATTGCTCTACCACTGAGCCACAACCCCAACCCAAGCATTTATGATATTTTTATAGCAGTCATTTGAAGTAGGTATTGCTACTAGCCCTGTCTTATGAATGAATAAATGAAGGCATAGAGACTTAAGTACCAGAGTCTCACAGTTATTAAGGGGCTGAGCCTGGCTGTGTGACCCCAGGGAGATCTCCACTGCCTACATGAAAAACCACTCTGCTCTACTGTCTGAAAGACCACAATCCAGAGCAGCTTGTAGCCAACGTGAACATGAACTTAGTGGGGATGGGAGTATCCAAAGATCCTAATGCTTCTAACTTTATGATTGGTTCACGAAGGGCTCCATAGTTGTGGGAATTGACTACGACTGCCGGGAAAGGATGGTGTACTGGACAGATGTTGCTGGACGGACAATCAGCCGGGCCAGCCTGGAACCAGGAGCAGAGCCCGAGACTATCATTAATTCAGGTCAGCAGCTTCACTCTGCAGACACTTTGCATTTCCTTTGATTGAACTAAGTTACTTGCCTGTTTTATGCCAAAGGCTCCCTCGGTTTTCATCTATCAGGGGAGATTAAGTTCCACTCAAGTCATTTTGTTGAGTTATATCAGACCAGCTTCTCTATAAACAAACCTATTCAAACTTAAGGAATGAAAGAAATCACTACTGCTACCATGAGCTCTTCTCAAAAGAAAGGGCTCAGGGTACAAATGCAAGGCATAGTGAATTTATGCTACTTGTCCCCTAGCACATTAGATGTTTGGTGACATCAGGGTGGTAGTTCTATTAGTATACATAGATGATCTAAAAAGAAACAAATGGGTTGGTTCCTCGATTAATCTGCCTTTGGTGACTTAAAAGATTCTTCTTCTCAGGCTTTTTTTTTTTTTTTTTTTTTTTTTTGGTAAACTGTTCAAATATGACAGATCTCTCTGCTCTAGTACACTCTTGATGCCCTAAAATTCTCCAGCCCTGCCTTTGCTTTATTTCCAGGTTTGATAAGCCCTGAAGGACTTGCCATCGACCACTTCCGAAGAACAATGTACTGGACAGACAGTGGCCTTGATAAGATAGAGAGGGCCAACCTGGATGGCTCCGAGCGCAAGGTCCTCTTCCATACAGATCTGGTGAACCCCCGTGCCATTGCTGTGGATCCAATCAGAGGGTCAGCCCGGCTTCCCTAATTCTCCTGTTACCTGAGGAACCTGAATTTGAAGCCCCTGGATTTTAAATAGTGTGGGGAGGATCAGAATAAGAGAGTAAAAGCTCAAATGCATTAACCTCAATATTTATTGAGGATCTACTACTAGGTGCCAGGCACTGTTTTAGGCAAAGACAAGGGTCTGTTCTTTCATGGAACTTGCGTTCTATTAAGAAATAAGACCATGAGCAAATAATATTTGGCTGTGATGTGATATGTGGAGAATTCAAAGTGTTGTGAGAGGGACTAGGGACTGCTAGATCAGATGATCAGGCAGGGCCTCAGGAGATGACATTTACACTGGAAAAAGCAAGTTCATTCAGCACATTTAGAAACCACAGTGCTAAAGCCACAGCAGGGTTTTCCTTTGTAACCAAAGCTCAGACAATGGGCATTTGAAAGTCAATATAAAAATGTTCCCACTCTGTGACAATTACTAAGGACACTAACTGGGACATATAGGACTTAATGGAACCAGGAAGGATTTTTATTCTTGAGAAGCTCTTGCTATACCTAAGTGGAGCTTCTACCAAACAAAATTCTACAGTAGTCCTTCATATCAGTAAAGAAGTTTTCAGTTTGGAAATCTCAAAAACACTTAAGTGCAAAGCCTCAAAGGTAGTTCTGAATTTGGGATTCCAAAGAATTAAAAACCTTTTAGGAACCTTGTTTTTATTTTGGTGATGCTGGGGATTGAACCCAGAGACTTGTGCATGCAAGGCAAGGACTCTACCAACTGAGCTATATCCCCAGCCCAGGAACTCTATTTTGATAAGCTTGCCTTTCTAACTTTTGCTTCTTGACATGAAACTGGGGAAGAGCTGCTGAGCAGATCATGTGTCCATGACCTAGAGGAAAAGGCATATTTCAAAGCTAACATCCAAATCACTGCTATGAGTTTAAAAATAAAAGTAGAACTTCATTTTTATCAAGATGGAAAATAATAATGCTAAAGGACTTTAAAAAAATTTTAGTGAAAACAAACACCTTCACATATGTAACTAAATCTTAGTTGTTAAACCTTCCTGGATATTTTACCCTTCTAATTTTCTTCTTTAAGAAATCCATGAATAATTTATGTCAAATGTTATATGTCTGTGTGAGCTTTGCAAAATTCACTGTTTTCAGTACCTTAAATCATTTTGGAGGAGATAGGTTACAAATTATAAAGCAATGATATGCATGCCCTACCCTCTCTCTGGCTGCCTTTATCTTAGCTGGAAGTGGAAACTGCATTCTGGGTTTCGCTCTCAGCCTTCATCTGTTAGGCATAAGCAATGAAGCTTTCAACAGAGGAAACCCATGATCTCTTCCTCTTTGCTCTTCGAATAGTTCAACTAACTATAGCTTTTATAAAACAGTATTTTATAGATGATGCTTTCATCATTCCTTCTCTAAAAATCTTTTTTCTTTAACATGTAACCTATTTCCAATTGAGATAAATTTCTAGACATATCTGTTATATGAGAATTTTGCATATTTAACAGGGCATTTAAAAGGTAAAGTGCTTGGCTTAGTGTTTCTATCCCTGGGGGCCAGGTGTAGAATAACAGAGGTTCCTCTTTGGCAAGTACCACAGAGTATTTTCCTTGGAAGATCTCCCTCTTAATTCCTTGGCCCCGGGGGATTTGACAAGTTCCATAGTTTCTAACAACTGCATTTCTTTGGATTCTAGGCCCAAGATCCAGTTCAACATTTCAATAAATTAAGGGTTTCTGGGCGGTTGAATCAGAGTGTCTAAGAAGCAAGAATTTTGATAGACTTAAGATAAATTACTTCTTTCACACATTTGCAAATGTCAGAAAACCTTGTGTTACAGGCAGAAGTAGGATATGACTAGTTATCTATTTCTGTGTAACAAATTGTCCCCCCACCAAATTTGGCCATTGAAGACAAACATTTACTATATCAGTTTTTGTAAGTCAGGAATGTGGGTACAGCTTAACTGAGTGCCTTTGGCAGTCTCTCTCACAAAGCCCTAATTAAGGCATTGGCCAAGCTGCCGTGATCTAAAGGCTCTGCTGGAAAGATGCACTTCCAAGCATTCATGAGGGCTCTTGGCAAACTCTGCCCTTGCTGGCTATGGACAGAGATACAAATTCCTTGGCAGATTGGTCTCTTTATAGGGTTGCTTTCAGCATCGCATATACCTTCCTTCAGAAGAAGCAAGAGAAGGAACCTATGACAGAAGACAGTTTTTTGAAACCTAATACTGGAAGTGATATCCCACCACTTCAGCCAAATCTAGCCCAAACTTAAGGGGATTCCTTAAAGATGAGAATACTAGAGGATGGGGAATTATTGGCAGCCATCTTGGATGCTACCTACCACAAGCTGTAGCTATCATTCTTTTTTTGTGGTGCTAGGGATTGAATCCAGGGCCTCCTGCATGCTAGGTAAGCATTCTACCACTGAGCTACATCCCAGACCCAGAAGCTATGCTTTTACATTCTTTTTTAAAATTTATCTACAGCAACTTGTACTGGACAGACTGGAATAGAGAAGCACCTAAAATTGAAACATCTTCTTTAGATGGAGAAAACAGAAGAATTCTGGTCAATAAAGACATTGGATTACCCAATGGTTTAACTTTTGACCCCTTCTCCAAACTGCTCTGCTGGGCAGATGCAGGTAATACTGATGGAATGCAGATATATAACCCTATGTTATAGTGGGGATGTATACTGTGATAGATTTCATTAAAAAACACAAATTTTGTCATGTAGATCTTTTGAGTTAAATTTATAACAGTATAACAATCTGTTTGGTCTATAAACTTTTAAAGAACATTTTGTAATAGTTCTTATTATGAGCTTGGGGGGGGGGTTGGATTGGGGGATGCTGAATTAGACAGTAAGTCTCTACTGTTTAACCTCAACATGGGCACCTGGCATACTTCTCAAGCTAAAATATTAGCCACTGTTGAATTGACAAGCTTGGATAAACCAATTAAGGTTATTCTGCCTTTTGGGGGGACCAGTATTACAACTTAACACTTGTTGCTTTAATAGTATCTTATGCTGAAAATATTGAAAAGTGAGGTGGCAGAATAGCTTCCTTTCAGTAATACTGAAATACCTGGGATATACCCAGATTTATCTATTTCTATTGTGTGCTTTTCTTTAGAATAAATGAAATATGCTATGTACCTAGTTCTGTAAAGAATATGGAAAATATTATTCTTGAATTTATAATCTAATAAAAATGACTATAATGCAGACAGGTCACTTACAATCTAATTGTCTAAAAACATTACATTTTTTTTCATATGATGATAAACTCAACATTTTATTATCTTCATAACAAAACAAACAATGAAGCTTAGAACTGGATCACTTGGCCCTTTCTCTTCTTATCTTCTCCCAGTTCAAAATGCTTACATCTGTTAATAGTCACCATTCTCTTAGATCTGCAGTTAGGCTCAACACACTTAAGTCTCAGCACAAGTCTTTAGCTCTTTTCCTGAAAATTTGCCTAGTCTGCCCACCATACCCACTCTGTTTCCTGTCATAATGCTGCTTTCCCTGTGCATACGGAGAATCCTTGCCCTTCAAGTTCTATTGTGTCACTTTTTTTCTTGTACTTTGTTTTTTTTTATTTTGCATTACAATTCTTAATATACCATTATACAATAATTTATCATATCTCTGATTATATATAAGGTACGTTGACACCAAATTCACATCTTCATACATGTATTTTGTATAATGATGAGAGTCTCCTTTCACTATCCATGGTATTGTGTCACTTTTTTGGGGATGGTGTTTGCCCCACTTCTTACAGAACATATGTCAGGTCCTAGGAATGTTCACCATGTTTGTGGGAGCATTATCAGCAAGGAAAGCTAAAACATTACAATTTTTAAAAAGTATTTGGGATTTAAATTTCTTGAGAAATGTGAAATTTGGAAATTCTTGAATAATTTAGCTGTTGGGAAATTTTCAAGACTGCTTTGTTTACAATGAAAAATAGCTATGTTACCATTTTCTTGTACCTAGAAAATAACATTCTTTAAAAACATTTAAGGATTTTTTGTTGTTGTTGTTAAGATTGCCTTGGCTATTATACCCTTTACACTTGCTTTATGAAGGATGAATATTTAACCAGATGTTAAATATACAACAGTTCGTAGGCCAAGGCTTAAAATTATAAGTTACAAAAAATGCTTATCTCTACTGACTCACTTTGGAAGAAATTTAGATTTCAACAGATCTCTTTCAAAACACAAAACAAAACAAAATTAAAACAACATTAACACTAGGTTTGAATTTCTATTAGAAACTAGAGCCAGGTGCAATATGGTGCATGCCTGTAATCCTAGTGGTTTAGGAGGCTGAGGTGAGAGGATCACAAGTTTAAAGCCAGCCTCAGCAACTTAGCAAGACCCTTTCTTAAAATAAAAAAATAAACAACAGCCTGGGGATGTGGCTCAGGAGTTAAATGTTGGTACAATCCCTGGTACAAATGAACAAATGGGAGACTAATAATAGAATATAATGCAGCTGCTAATTTGTATGACTAGAAATGGGAATAAAATGTCCATTTCCTATTCTGTTTTCCTTGAGAAGGAATCTGCCACTATCATATTTGGCAAAATAGCCTTTGTTTCTGCATGGTATGAAAGGATCACGTTTCCCCTTTGTTTTAAAAGGAACCAAAAAACTGGAATGTACACTACCTGATGGAACTGGACGGCGTATTGTCCAAAACAACCTCAACTACCCCTTCAGCATTGTTAGCTATGCAGATCACTTCTACCACACAGATTGGAGGAGGTAAGCTCAGCACATTCTGCCTGAAAAGGCAAATGTTTCTTGAGATCACACTTGACCAGTCAGTGAGTTACTTTGGTACTTAAGCCCTCTATTGAGGTTTTTCATTATTTCCTCATTAATAGTTAGTGCTTTTGAAATCATGCTTTTACTTAACCCAGAAATTTAATGTTATTGACCACAGGTAGCTTAAAGTGGCAAAGATTTTTTGGTAGTATCCTATTAATAAGTAGGCATGTTTATTTAAATCTGTTCCTCAGAGAATAAGACTAGCCTGTGTGGTACCATAAGGTAGTTATTAAGTATTGGGTTTTTAGTTTTTTTTTTAAATATTATGAACAGTCTACCTAGGAGATGGGAAAAATACTATTTAGACTATTCTCAAATGAGGATCTGGGGTACATTTAAAAAACAAAACATCTACGTTCTTTTACCCCATCACCTACAATTTTGATTTAATTGGTCTGGCATGAGATCCACACATCAGTATTTTAATAGATCCTCATATGATTTTAAATGCAGCTAGGACTGAAAACAACTGATTTAGACCAGTGGTTTGCAAACTTCAGTGTGGCTTCAATATCACCCCAAGGGCTTATTTTAAACATATTGCTAGGTCCCATCCCAGTTTGAGTCAGTAGGTTTTGGGGGCAGTCAGGGGAGAGGTGCCAGGGATTTTTATTACCTGTAAGTTTCCAAATGATGCTGGTTTGGGTATCACCTCGAGAACCACTGGTATTAGACAACTCTTCTATGAGAAAAAAACTCACTTGATTAACTTGATTTAAATAACATATTCTAGGCTTGCAGAGATTTCTCTACTTTATTTAACCACCTGTATCTTTTTATCTAGTGACTAAATCTCCATTAATTCACTCTTCCTTTCTTTTGCCAGGGATGGTGTTATATCAGTAAATAAAGACAGTGGCCAGTTTATTGATGAGTATCTCCCAGAGCAGCGATCTCACCTCTATGGGATCACTGCAGTCTACCCCTACTGCCCAACAGGTAAATGAACACATTTCAGGATGCTCCTTTGAATTATCAGAGAAAGGATTACTGATTATTCCTGCTGCCAATGACATTGCCAACACTGCCATCTTTACTACCTTAAGTCTACCTAGCATAATGATAAACAAAATGAAAAAGACTTGGTCTTGCAACTTGGTTAAAAATTCATCACTCTGCCCTCTTCCCTCACAGGAAGAAAATGAACATAAAGGAGGAAACATAAAGGAGGACTTAAAGTTTACAATCAGAATCTTGACCCTGAAGAGCATTTACTGAAAAAGGCAAAGAAAGTGAAAAAGGAATTGGCCGTTAGAAGTTTCTGGACATACAAGATGAACATTTTTAATGTAAAAGACTATATTTTGTGAAAAGCTTATACCTCAATCTTTACTACTGTATTTTTAAAATCAAAGGTTGTTATTGCCAGTTCAAAAAAAGTAATAGAATTTTAATTGTTGCTTTTTAAAGCAACTTTTTGTAAACATTCGTGTCATATTTAAAAGGCAAATTCATAAAACTAAACCAATTAGAGTTAAATCCTCTAAATCTGATTTTTGCTATGGATTCTTTCTGGCCAGGAAATTAAAGCACATGCGATCAGTATAAAAATACAATCAAAATACAATCCTAAAAAATCAACGTAGATATAGTTATAGAAGCCTATGCAGAACTGTGGGAAAGACCAACTTATTTATAGTTTCCCAACAAAAGTTCTAAGACTTTTTTTTTTTTTTTTTTACCTCTGCATTAGTGCATTTCTATTTATATTAAAAGGTGCTAGAATGATTGTATTTTCTGATCCCATAAGTGCCTCTACAGATGTGACCACCAAAAGTACTACATTTATAAATACCAAAGATGTAGCAGTTCTCACATTTTCTAGATTACTCTAATAAAATTTGTTTTCCTACAATTTAAGGATCTATACTGTCTGTGACAAGGTGGGGACTGGCATGCATCTCAACCACAAAGGAGTACACATTAATTATACAAGTACATAGTTTAAAAAACAAAACAAAAAAACACTCCACTTTCCCAAACTTTATTAAAGAAAAAAAGCAATGGTGGTAAATCTCTAGAACAGTCAATTTTCTGGGATTCCTCCCTTGAAAATGTGACATTTGATTTCCAAACACATGCCAGAAGTGTACATGGTTCCCAATTGTACTAAGTAGGTAAGAAGCTAAATTCCTAGAGTGTTCATCTTCCAACTTTCCCTAGTCTGTGGTCTGTCTTTGGATCAGCAATAATTGCCTGAACAGCTACTATGGCTTCATTAATTTTTGTCTGTAGCTCTCTGAGTTCTTCTATATGCAGCAATCGCAAAATCTGGGCAGCTTCATTAAGAACTGCATCTGTTTTGTAAGGAAAAAACACACATCAATACATAATTGTTGCTTTTAAGACTATTTATTCATTTTTAAGAGTCTAAGAAGAGTTTGAATTAAAACAAAAATCACATACCTCCCGTGTCAAAGCCAAGAATATGTTTGTCTAGAGCAACAGGCAAGCCCTTAAAAAAAAAAAGACAAAATGAGTTTACACTTAAAAATAACTGCTTCTCATAAGAAACTGTAAAAAGCAGCTGTTCTGTTACTTTTAGCTGTAATGGTCAGGGGCCTAAGAATCATTTGCTGAAATCTGCCTTGCAATTACGTTTTTCCCTATTACAATAACTAGAGAGAATAGCTTTAAATGTACTGGAAATTCTACAGCCCATCCAGGCCTTTAGACCAGGCTTTTAAATCAATAAATCTTTGGCAGGCAGTATGGCTCAGTGGTAGAGTGCTTGCCTAGCATGTGCAAGGCCCTGGATTCAATCCCCAGCACTGCAAAATACTGCAGCAGTGTTTTGTCACTACTGCTATAGAAAGAGGGTTGAACTGGCTGCTGTTGTTCCATTTAGTTTCAAAGAGTGTTAGTGTACAGGCAAATGGGATAGGAATACCTTTAGTATTTCCTCCAGGAAAAATAGTTTTTCATTTAGCACATTTATTTTGGTGTTTTCTTCCCCCCAGTAGTAGTGGGGATTAAATCCAGGGCCTCACACATGAAAGGCAAGTACTGAGTTACACCCCACTAGCCCCCTTTTTTTTCGGAGACAGGGTCTCACTAAATTGACAAGGTTAGCCTCAAACTTGTGATCCTCTTGTCTCAGCCTCCTGAGTAGCTGGGGTTACAAGCATGTACCACCACACTGGCTTTTTCTTTTGTGAGATGTCTAGCTATATTGGCCACACTAGTCGTAAACTTCTGGACTCAAGGGATTCTCCCGAGTGCTGAGACTACAGTAGTGTACCACTATGCCCAGCTTAATTTGTCATTAAAAGTACACAAACCTATCTAAAAATATGCTGTTTTTGTTAAGCCAGCATTACGTTTACAAGTGTATTTACATAATTAAGCTTTCAACAGTTTATCTGGAAGGAAAAAAAAAGCATTTTACTAGTCAGCACCAACATATAGATAGACCAAAGATGACAACTACAATGATGCTAAATTGTAGACTTCACAATAACTATCAAAAATGATGCCAGGGCTTTTTTGATTATATTATACATAATCATTACTAGTAAAACAACAAAACCCAACTACCTATACTTTCAATGTTGCTATGTAAATACTTTAGTCACTGCTCAATTCTTACCTAATCTATTAATGTACACCTACCTAGGTACCATCTGCTTTAAAGTAGCTAACAAACAAGATATAAAAGTGACAAAACAAATGGGTTTGAAAGTATAGTGAGCAAAATAAAGAGTGCAATTGTACTGAGTGGCTCTGTCAGTCTGGTACCAGAGGCTGGAGTTTTCCTTCTGTCTGCCAACAGACCACTGAGGAATAGCTATCTGTGAAAATTATGCCTTAAATACTAGTTATGAATAGTTACAAAGACTAAACTATAAGAATTTCTCTACTATGTCATTATAGGCTGGTATCTTAAGACGACACTAAAAGTAGAATTTGGAGCACTGAAAATAAAACTAAATTTTACTTTGCAAACAAGGGCAAAAAGATTTGGCTATTCCTTTATTCACACTGCCTTCCAAACTAAAGACATAGTTTTGCTAAATGAATGATTACATTATGCCAGAACAATTTACTATCTGTTCTATAGAGTGAGTGAAATAAGCTGATTTTAAGCCAAGTTCTACTGGCTCCATTCATACATAATTAAGTCAAGAAAAACCTAGAGAAGAAAACTGAGGGTCTTTCATAAAGGACTACACTGCCCTGGTGTTAGTAACCTTTTAACACTACTGGGTCTTGCTAAAGGGGTCAGAGGACAAAAGACATCAGAGGGGAAAGGAGACCAAAGTCCAGAATGGTAGTGTGCCCAAGGTATTCACTGCAACATCTATTCAGTAGGACGGAACTGTCTATAGAGACTATAGTTCCTCCTCTAACTCCTGAGGACATTCTCTGCACTATCTCATGGTCAATAAACTTTAGGAATGTTTGGATTTCTGACAGTTAATCAAAAAAACATCCCCAAAGTATTCTTTATGTATGGGGAAGGTATACTGAACAAAATGATCCAAGGACAGAACTTATCTCAAAAAAGAAAATTAACTGGTAACAGAAGATATGCCTTTTATTTTCTACTATGAATCAAACAATCCAATCCTTCTCAATGAACTTAAATCTTTTTAAAAATGAGCTTCAACTGGGCATGTGCAGTAGTTTGCAGACTGCACACAAGCTTTTAGAGCTTTTCTAAGGTAGAAAAGTGGATAAAAATGAAGTTCATATATTACTCAACTGATTCCCAACAACTAGATACACTGAATTTGCTTAAGAACTAAACTAAATCACAATTAAATATGAAATCCTTTCTTTATGCTATTTAACACAGAATGAATATCTTAAGCAGATATTTACAACGTTTAAACTCATGGCTATACAAAAAGAAATTCTCACTAATAATTGATTTAGTATTTATATAAACATACCTCTTTTGTTTGATTTGCTTTAGCAACTGCATCTTGTGTTAGGCGCTCCTGAACCAAAATGCGAATTGCCTTAAGAAAATAAAAAATATTGCGTTTACTATTTATAATTCATCCTTCTCTGAATCTAGAGAATAAGGATACTCATAGTAATTCAAAACGCTTTTTTGAATAGATGTATTATTTATTTATATGTACGTGGTCAAAAAAATTTTTTTAGGGGCTGGGGTTGTGGCTCCATGGTAGAGTGCTCACCTAGCATGTGTGAGGCACTGGGTTCGATTCTCAGCACCACATATAAATAAATAAAATAAAGGTCCACTGACAACTAAAAAATTATTTTTATTAAAAAAAATTTTTTTAAACAAAGGTATGTGGTAAAAAGTATGTCTCTTTTCTATGCCTAGCCATCCCTCCAAAGAACAATCATTGTTACCAGATTTTTATGTATCTAAAAAGACTCTGAAGTTGTAAGTCTGCTCATGCATTTACAAACACAGAATCTTTGCCACAAAGGGTAGCATATAATAATGCTTGTTTTATACCTTGTGTTTATCACTTCATAGTAATAAAGTTTTCAACATTCTGAAGGACAAGATTTTTTAAAATGGAATTTAAAATTGGGGAGATAACAATTACAACTAAAAAAATTATTTTTAATAAAAAGCAAATGCTGTACCTGAAAAAGATAATTAAAACATTTTTAAAAAATTTGAAACATTTTTAATGGTGATTGGTTACCAGTTAATGTTGACTCTTACACCTGGCAAACCTACTAAGATGCTTTCTATATCATCATTTTTTAAATACCTCTTTAAAAAACCCACTGGGAAATAAAGAGGTAGCTGAGACTAGAATTTTATAAAGTTTTTTGTTATAGCTCATTTGTATTTTTCCTATTTACTGGTTTTGGAAATCTAACAAAAATACTCTAAATATGCTATGCATTGTCTGTTTCTCCTCATTTAGTTTATAACTAAAAAGGACATATCCACTGTAGAACTATTCCAATGAATTTTACATAATTGAATGAAGAACAAGCATTTGAAGCAGCT